CGGTGATCACGAAGCGATGCGCGGGCGCCGATCATCGGTAACCATAACAACCTAAGCACGGAACTAACTTTGTAAGAGTTTTTCTGTATTATGGCCGTTAAAGTCAATGAATGTAGCTTTTGTTTTTAATACTATATTACTTACTTAAGTAATAATATTCAAGACCTAAGTTTACTCGCAATTTTCACAAATTAGTCTCATAAAAGTCAAAGAATTCCCATATTACATCTACCGAACAAATTTAAGATCGAGCAGAATTACGAACAATAGCGTTATCTGTAAAATAAAGAGAATGTACGAGTAGCAACATAAATCTTCAGCGCTCGCTCCGTACATTTTAACGGTTAAGGGAGACGCATTTTTATTCAAAATAGGCACTTAGTTAAAAAATATGTGTGTACCAGAGACAAACAACAGGAAGTGGGTGGAGATGGTCCTTTTTCCCGAAGTTCCTGTGGCCTGTGTGCTACCTTTTTGTTTTAAATTAAGCGCCAGATGCGGAGGACCCGAGCGTACACTGCCGATCAAATTAATTGGCCCCAAGGGATTGTTTTCAATGTTTCCGTAGTTTTGTAATATTAGGTCGTTTGTATAACTTGTTATTTAGTTTTTTTTGTTTGCAGTACTAGAATTTTCCACTTTAGTCATCCAGATATTATATGAACATTAAAGGATTAACATTTCAAAATACTAGCCTAATATTAATTACAATTAGGACAGGAAAAGAAAATGATATGAAGGTGAATTCATTTCGAAACTTAAAAACATATTAGAATCCTTTGTATCGTATGTCAAGTCACAGTCTAAAGAATAACCAAAATTTTATATAAACTACCCACTTGATATAAACTTGCCATCAAATCCCCCAGTAACATACCTACTAAAAAAAGAAGCGAATAAAATAATTAATATTTTTTCTGTGGTGTGTTCTTCACTTGCACCCCAAATGTACGAACGGAATTCTTTTTAGAAATCGTACCGAAAAATGTTTAGTAGTTGAAAAATTAGCATTTGTGTGGTCCCTCCGTCCCTGTACCGGGGAAGTTAGCGGGGCTCATTAATTTGTTGTTTTTCTTTTATTTCTCTCCCCATTTTAGGGTAATTTGGACGAAACCTCCGTTTTGTATAGAATACTAACTTTTTGTTTAGAGCGTACTAATTTAAATGTGCTGTGTTTACTGGGTTATTACTACGACCGCGGCTTTTTTATTTATGTATACTGTACCTACTTGAAATCGGTCTTAAAATTATATTTAAGTATTAAAGTTTTGTTAAGTCGCAAACCGACGTCGCATCATCGGCTGTCTCGAACGCTGCTCATTATTATAGGATCTTAGGGTAATTTACAACTATTCATGAGCCCTTGTAACACAGTTAATCGAGTAAGCTGAACGCTTTGGCTTCATATAGTTTTTTAATTATAATTTTGACGTGAAAATGTGCTGTTTTATTGCCTATTTACAACAATAAATCAATAGTTTCAATACATATTTACAACATACGTGGGTATTGTAGTGGTAGATAGTGGAAAATTCTAATACCCGCGTAATTATATCATTGTTTTAATATTTAAAATAATATTAATGCTAATTCTAGGATGGAATTGGTATAGGTACAGGTACTTTTATAGGAGGTTTAGGTATAGGTAGGTACTTAACTTAATTAACACATTTTCCTGGGAGGACAATTATTTTTAAATAAGTGATGTAGTATTTTGTTAAAATATAGTGTAGGTACCTATACATAAGCCTACATACAGACATCAGGTAATTAAGTACACAGGTTTTAAGCTAAACAAGAGAGATAGGTGTAGTAGATTTACCTACGTAATAAAAGTTTGAAAATAAAACTATTGTTCTTAGTTACACGTTATTTTTCTTTCTTTTGTTCTTTCTAGTTTTTCAGATCTCAATGAAAAATCATTAGAATAAGATAGATTTTCGACGGTAGTAGACGATATAGGTGTGGACTTTCTGTTAATTAAAAACTTAGATATTCGTGAAAATATTACCTCCCTTTATGTATAAAAAAACAAATAGCCACATTTCCATAAACGATTTTCAATCTCTCGTTCCATGGGCATGTATAAGCTGAAAAGTGCGGTAGAACTATTTCAAACTGATGTGAATAGACACGTAGTACGCAGCAAATTATTGTAGGTGAATGAAAGTGGGTAGGTATAAAAAAATCTACATTATGTAGGAGGTACTTAACTTGTATTTACATAACCTACACTTTTTTGATCATGCTTTATTGGAATAATATTGATAAAATAAAATTTCTATTTATTTAAAAAAATTGAGATTGCTACGCCCTTAACAGATTCCTATCGAACAGTCTGGATAAGTATAAAGACATTTTAATAACGAAATAGAACTGAATTATTATCAACCTACGTTCTTAACGTGTATACTCCCACGCAGGTACTATGATGGAGACGGTTCACAAACAAACTCATTACTCCATACAATTTATTCCATTCAATATCACTTTTATGCTGGCACTCAGACCAAATTATTTTCCTTCATTTGATAAAAGGACCAAATCTTGCACCATACCGAGTTCTCATATTGCTTTCCTAAGCTCCTCCTACCCTGCAGGGCGTGGCGACACCACGCCCCTGGCTCCACCCACGAGCAGTTTTTCCAGGAAACTTATGTAATATTTTCCCAGTGGGGTGGTGGGTGGACATTTGTCTTTACTAAGGACGAGCTCCCAGGATTATTAAATTTACCAAGCCAACATGGCCGACGATTTATATATCTACTTTATATAGCCAGCTATGTACTTTGATTTAGTGGTTTAGGTAGAAGTTCTGCAGAATATATTTTCTCTGTAAAGAATGGCTTTCAAAGAGTTTTATTTGAAGACGGTAGATTTTGAGCAAAGTCTTAAATAACGTAACATTGCTATGTTAGGTAGGTACTAAAACCATTTCTGCTTGTGTACCTTTGTTAGAAATTGATAAAAGTTAGGGATTACTACCAAAGAAATCCTCCTAAAAAATACGAATTTGTAATGTGGGTAACATCATCACCAAACAGCATGCATGTTTATAGAAATGAACCGAAAACTGACATATAAAGACTATCAAGTTCATGATTTTTCTTGTAAAACTTTACAAAAACCATCCCTTAAATTTAGGTACTATGAACACTTAGGAACAAAGAAAAAACTTGCTAATCATGCTGCCATAATAGAACGTTCGAGAACAATTTTAAATTTGAAGGTAAATAGAAAATAATGTTCATTTCTTTACAAAGTGCAATAATGATTCATCGTGAATAAAGCTGTACTTGCATTTTACGGACAAATATTTCATATACCTAGTAACTTATTAGTTCAAGGACGTAGGGACGTTTATGTTTCTTTCTTTTTAATATTGTGTGTATTTATAAACATGAAAATAGATTTTCTTAAATGAGTATTTGACGATCAGGTCAATCGACAGTTCTAGGTATATGAATTTTGCGAGGGATTGTGTGTTGTGATATAATTTTTTTTACATATTTCTATTTTTGTAATGACCTCTTTTCATGTTTATTTTTAAGATATCAGCTATTATACTTATTAAATACTTTACAAAAATCGAACCACCCACATTTTTCTGTAATCATGGTCTAATCAAATTCATAAATTTCGTAGATATAATTATTTCGTAGTTAATACGAAACTTATGTTTTTATTATGAATTACTTTAAGTTTTAAATAAAAACGATGGAGATTTTTTTTTTAATTTTGAACTAATAAATAAGAATAACGGTATTTTAACTGTAAGACGCCTTTTTCATTAAACTTAAAATTAAGGTAATAGGTATGCAGGTACCTAATTGCTTTTTAAGTTAAGTACCTAACCTAAAAATATTTAAAATAAACCTTTATTGCTGAGTTTATGAAATAACGTAAATATAAATAAATGCTTTTTCCCCAAGCTTGTCCTTCGACTCAGGCCCCCCCAAAAAATTCCTATTCTACTTATTCCTCGCAATTCTCAACCAATTTGGTCCAACAATTTCTTTAAGGTTATTTTCTCAGCGTTTTGGTGGCCCTTTGCTAGTGTTCTATTTCTCTCACTTATCATATGCTCTGCTCATTGTCATTTTAATAAGTATTTTTCTTGACAAGTTTTTGTTAAGTTTCGCTAACCTAACTGTGTCTTCTCTTTTTATTTCAATTACATAAAATACAAAGCTTACTTTCCTTTTAATTTAAATATTTCAAATTGCTCAAAATATCTGAGCTCAAAATAACTGCTCAAAAGTCTTTAAGTATCCTTAAAGACTTATACCTACTTGTATCTACTACTAAGTACTATGCAATGCAATAATTCATGAAATATCGTTTGATCTCTTATCATTGCAATGTACGATATAAAAAAATAAAAAAAAAACGCAATTTACCTCAACCAGGAATAAAATCTGACTCCACTGGCTATGATGACTGACACTCGACAATCGAAAAAGAAAAGTAAACTTTAATCCTCCAATATAATACAAGTCGAGGTCATAAAACAAAATATTCAGTAACATCGTTATAACAATACATAGACAAAAATAGACTATAAAAGCGCGCACACGCATCCACTCCTTGCATTCGGGTGCGACAGCGGGACGTAAGTTATTCCTTCACTTAATATACTAATTTCTCTTTTTTAATTAATTTTATATTTTCTGTAAATATATTGTACTAACTGTGTGTTGCATAAAATTGATACTACGACAATATTCGTAGTATAGTTTAAATTTTATTTCTTTTTTTCGAGCCGCCATTTTGTATTGCTCCCAGTCCAAGCACATGTTTGCGATACTCATTTTCATAAACTAATGTATCCTATTTTCCTTGCTTGGTTTAATTAATTTTGAGTGCTTGTTAGTGATTCTTGTAATAATATAAAATATGAATATCCAGGATCTAAACAAGCTTTTATATCCTTTATTAATTTCGACCACGTGGCTCTGATTGATAGTTGGTTGATTTTAATTACATTTTTTCTGTTGCAGTGAGCCAGGGTACCTGCAGAATCCTTGTCCTGTAGCAGTATGGTAAGTTTTTCTACTTCCATTCTATTATATTATTAAACTAATTATACATAATATGTATATTATCCAGTCGATTACCTATCTAATAAATAGTGACGTCTTGCGTTAAGCTATTGAAACAATCAAATTAAAATTTAAAGAAGGTAAATTGATTTACCAACCGTTTCTGTTTTTACACTAATCTAATCATCAAGCAACCACATGGGCTTTAAAAAATATATTTCATCTTCGTCGCCTAAGCTTTCAGCTTGTTTTAATTTCATAGTCACCATCCTATTTCTGTCCACTGCTTCCATTCTGATTATCGTCCCATTACTAAGTTTAAAGTACTTGTGCAGGCAGGATCCGGTGGCCGAGCAGCCGGTCCTGACGACGGCGGCAGGGCGGGGCGGCCCGGGTGCCGCGGTCGCCGGCGTCGCCGGACGCCGCCCGCCCGCACTGCTGGCCCGCGCGGCTGCCGCGGCTCTGGATGAGCTCCGAGCAGATGACAACGCGCTATTTTTTTTCTTTTATTTATTATAAGTGTAAGTATTATTAGGTACATACCTTACTTACCTCTGAGTTTGTTTCGGCATTTCTTCTTACAGTAGTCAGATGGGGAATGCTTCATCTAGTTTTTTACATTTTTACATAATTTTTACATAATTATACGTGACAAAGTTTTGGAGTTTTCAGTATACGCTTAGGGGCACTATGAAAAGAAAACACAAAAAAAAACATTAATGTTTTTTTAAGTAGGAATAAACATGTCATCTTTATGTTAATTTGAAATATTTGTTCCAGGATTACATGACTTCGTCTTAGTGTTAAGTTCAAGTCCAAGTTTTATGGTGGTGGTTATATAGAAGATTAGTAATATATGGACGTCCGTTCCTGTGATGTAATTAAAGTCTGGCAAGTCACAAACTCAACACTTTTCCGTTTTTATTACATTTTAAGATTACAATATCATGTACATACAAATAAGTTTCAATTTCCTTTCAACGTCAGCAATGTCCTTTTAGTTGTAGGTAGATAAAACCAATGTAAGTTTTATTATTAGAATATAATTTGTTGTTTACAGTACTATAGTTTATAATATTGTTCAAATACTTTTCTACTTGTCATCCGTATCACTAGACATGTTAACAAATGTTTGTTGACGGAACACTCTGACACGTTGTTACAGAATAAAATAAGTTGTGATGGTTATATAGCCTTGTTTCATTCCTTGTTTGCAATCCTTTATTTATAAATAGCTCATCATCACATATCCATAGCCTCGTCTCACTTGGAGAAGGTTTGAGCATTAATCTGCATCAACCACCACGCTTGCTCAAGGCGCATTGGCCTATTATAAGTTGTACCTAATAAGTAATTATAAGACCCAGGTTTCCTCACGATGTTTCCCGTGGTGTCTATAAAATCATAGAAAAGAGTACACAGGTATATGTATCTCGGAAAAAGTCACATTAGTAAGGTTTCAAACCCGTAACAATATGGCCACCACGACGTTGCTTAAATAGCTAATATGTAGGTACTATTCATTTAGAAGTAAATTTAACACAAGATATCCCATAACATAGTGTAAAAAATATCAACTACCATCTACTCATATTTTACTATAGTTTAAGAAAACAAAGATGGTTACACAACGGCCACCATTACTAAGAGTTTATAGCCTAAAACAACTTGGAACCTATTTTATTTTACAACATTTATAATATAAAGGGAGACAAGATGGCTTTGGCAAAAAGCTTCGAGTAACAGATGATGTTCATTTAAATATTTTCTAGAGATCGAGGGTGCTTCGAGTCGGCGTCTAGTGCAGGACTACACTACACGATTTATTTTTTGTATTGAACGAAAACGAATACGAACGAAAAACCAAATTTACTGACATACTTAAGTATTGAAAAAATAACCATAATACGTCAGTTGAATATAATTTTATCTAGGTTACTTACTTTTCAGGTTACTTTAGAATAAACCATACTTATATGAAGTTAATATTGTTGATTAGTTTCTTTCTTGACGATACCCCAATATAGTATTGAACCGTGGTTAATTCTGATACATACACTTAAATAAACATATTATCTACACTACACAAACAAAAATAACACAATTTATTAAACACCAAATTCTTCAGAATATTAACCCGTGTGTTCCGACGCAATGAGATGCAGGCCGAAGTCAATATCGCGGGATCAAAGCCGGCCAGCGCGCCACTTAGCGACGATATTAACGCCTCTCCAACAACACTGTTTACGTGACACGACAATCGTTTCAATGTAACTTACCTAACCTACTGTTAATGGCTTTGCTTTCATGGATCAATCAGGAACATAACAGATTACACCTTCAATATCTTTTAAGAAGTGTTTGAGACATTTATTTATAGCTTCTACTGCTCCAATTATTGTCGTAGTGATCACAATTTCATGTTTTAAATATCGTCATATTATGAGAGTATTCACAGCTGAATAAGCAAGCCAATCATCATTGACCGCAGCCATTATTCCATATTACAAGTCAACAATGGGAAGCGAACGGCGCATCTTAGTAATGGCTGCTACCCTAATAATTAAATAAGACCCCGAAAACACTAGCACAAACTAGGTACTAAATATCTAACCTCTAATCAAAACAAACACAATTTAAAAGTAACAAGATATGAAAAAACGTAATCATAATAATATATTAAATCAAAGAAGTATTCAAAACAGTCAACATCAAAGTCAGTAAATGGTAAAAATGTTGTTGAAACAAAACTAATTTCCAATTCCTTTGAGTTCCGCTCAAATATATCACTGAGTGACAACACATTAGCATGTATATGTCATTAGACAGGTACAAATACCTTTACAAAGCCATCGACTCGCCTATAAATTGAAATGAGACTGTGAATTAAAATATAAATCAAAAGAGGATTTTCCCGACACGTCGACGCGACGAAATTGGAAAAATCTACGGCGACACGGGTGGCGGGCATTGTGCCCTTTGTTTTGTACGATACGTGATTGTGTTTGGTGGATTGAATATTGGTGATTGAGCAAGATCTTTGAATACAAAGATGTAGTTTTAAGACCTTATAATTTTTTTAATAATCAACTAGTGTGCGTATGGTTGTATCCTGTCAATTAGGGAAATAAATAGGATTAATACCTTAAGAGCGTTTACGCCACATCGATGTACATACAAACATTCAAGTCAAAAATCATGGACCTTTATACCTTTTCATACTAAATATATTAAGATCTAAAAACTTAATTAAGTTTATTAAGTGAGCAGGTTTTTGCAATTTTGTGTTTGCATGGAAACTTCAAATTATGATTGCCTCTCTAAACTCTTTTTCGCAACTTAACTAAATTTTTGGACCCTGACATATTCCGCATGAATACTTTTTTCATTAAAATTTGTTCAGCAGTTTCAGTGCACGGAAACGCGCGTATAACGTATAAGTATACGCGTTTCCTTTCACTCTCTATAAACAGACATACTTAGTTTCGGCTTCGTAGTTTTTTATAGTCTGTCTGTCTGTCAATCAGTCATTCAGTCAATCAATAGCAAAAGCTTTTTAATTGCAAGTTTCTTTTTAACAAAATTTCCTTTCTCGATAAAACTGTTGTATTGTATTCGTATATCGTATGACAATGAAAACAATCGCTTGGTAAGATAATAACAGTGTCCCCGTACATATTAAAGTGCGGAGCTCTTACAGACGTTCTGTAATACAAACTCATTTAAATATACATGATGAAATTGAAAAAATTACGTTGGGGAGTTTGTTCTGGAGAAATTGTGTGATAGACTAGCTAACAATGTACGGTGGGAAAATGAAATGTGTTTTTACTTAACTACAGTCACAATCGTCTTGCGTTTGTTTTTTTATTTTATTTTTGACGTATGGTAAAATTTATGGAGGTATTATTTAAATTGCAAGTTGTTATTAAATAAAGATGTGGTGATTTAGCTGTTTTTTTTTATGTTATAGGCCGGAAAACGAGCACACGGATTACCTGATGGTAAGCAATCAGCGCCGCTCATGGACACCCGCAACGGAGGAGTTACGAGTGCATTGCCGACCTTTTAGGGATTAGGGATTTGGAGATTTAGGGATTGAGAAGGGATTAGGGGAGGGGAAGTATTGGGCCTCCTCAACCTCACCCACATCGCGAAACACAACGCTGTGTTGTTTCACGCCGGTTTTCTGTGATGCCGTGGTATCACTCCGGTCGAGCCGATCCGTTCGTGCCGAAGCGTGGCTCTCCCACACTTATGTTTACTTAGTTTTTGATTTTTATGATCTTGATACTCACCTAGTTTAATTTTAATTGGTTACTGCCACTTACTTAGTATACTTACTAATTTGTAACTGTATAAATATTTAATTAGTTTATTCCAAGAAAGGGCACGCAGAAGTTCGCCACATAGATATAGTTGATCCCAATCAATAGGCGAGCATAAAGGAATATTGAAGATCTTTGGAAATATAATAATGCAATTGTTCTTTTCCAATCCCATTCCAACAAACCCCTCATTGATTAACAAGAATTAAGCAAATAATGAGACATCTAGATAGGTACTGTATTTATCTACATTTTTTTTATTGCCAATGTATTTAGACTGATATTTATATATCGACTGAATACGGTACCTATCGGCTATCTGGTACAACCAGCAAAATGCAATACGAAACAAATGATTACAAAAGTTTGTGAGTCTTCTGTCCAAGATTGCAAGTTCTGATCTGGGTAGCGTCACATTCCAAAAGATTTATTTTTGGTGGTAGGTACGTATGTTTATATCATAGCGGTCATTAACATCAATAGAGATGGTCGACTCATAAGACTCGTAAGTTCTTCGAAAAATATATCAGTTATAGCAATAATATTCCAATCACAAGTTGTATTATTTAACACATTACACGTTCAATACAATATACCATAGTACCTACCTACTGCGAGCGTCCATAACTTCTATACTTACAGAAACTATCAAAACTCAAGAGAAAATAAATTTACTTTATCCAAGTGGAGCCATCTTAAATAAAAGACAGTAGCGATATTAAAGGCAGGCGTACCTACCTGCCATAGTATAGCTCAGTCCATTACAACGAAGAGCTTTCTCAGTAAGAGCCATCAAAGAAAAATAATCCATCTGAAAACACTTGACACAGTTGGGCGGCCCCGCCCATCCGCCCGCCCACCGCTCACCACGCCCAGCCATCTTGGAGCCTCCACTTTTTACCGCAGAACTTGCTCTGTATATTTTAAGTAAAGTTATCTTAGTCCTGAATACTCCTGAATTAGTTTTCCGCTAACATTGCCTCTCTACGTGTACTTTATAAAACTTGTTTACGTTCGCAACGTCGTTAATGCTGGAGTTTGTCTTGCCAGCAGTTTGCTCCTGGCTAGCGTATGCTTTAAGTAACTAATGGCTTAAAAATATAGTGATAATTATTAATAGAAATTATTCTGGTACTACCATGCAGTCCCATTTGTGCGTTTCTTTCCGAAAGTTTCAGTCTCGCACAGCAAAAATGTGAAATGAATTGTCGTCGGCGGTAGTTAAAAGAAGCGAAACAACTACACTTCAAACCGCCAAAAAACTTATTCCTTCTTAAAAAGCCGTAACGAAGTTGTACCTCCTCTGATGTTGCGGGTGGATATCCAGGTGCGGCCACTTGACTACTTACCACACGGTGACGAGCCTACTCATTTAAAAACAAACCTACAAATAGGATTATGAAAGTTAAAAAAGTTACTAAAATTAGTCTTCTAAATGGGTCATATAACTTTGACATGTTTTTAACTTCACCGCAAAGACATAGTGCATTGATTTTACACAAGACACAAAATCAAAACAATATTAGGCAAAAAGATAGATACTTGTTAGATAATAATACTCGTATCATCATCTTCAACTACAGCAAATTAGGTAGCTACGTTTTCAGCAAAACCCATTCTGCATTAACTTTTAATAAGTAACTGATAAATTAACTGTAAATTTCTTTTTAGAAGAAAGAAGATGAAGGCTGCGAAATTAACTGCAGGATAATGAAAATATTTTGAAGAGACATTGGAAACAAAGTTGAATCGACACACTTATACGCTCTATATAAAACTAAACATTTCCTTTTCAGAAAAAGAAATATAAAACTGTTCCATACATAATTTCACGCTATTAAAAGACGATATACGAATCTCCAATACTGAGTTCAGCGTGCCTCTAAAATAAACAACTCGAAAATAAAGTTCAAAGGCAGTAAAATTACTGTATAGATAGGTTACGATCGCCCATCTAAAGTAGATACGTGATCAAAACGTTGAACAAACTCAATCCCCAAAGAAAAACACCGGTAGATTGCGAGCTTTCATCGCAAAGCGAAAGATATCAAAAAATACATCGGACGGCCGCTCCGCGCTTTATTAAGAATAAATTTAGGGAGGACGTAGAGGTCCACGGTTGGCCCAAGTTATAAGAGATCTATGCTTTGCTTTACAATAGTTATACATATACATACATAGTTATATTAGTGAAAAGAATTTTGTAAGATATTTAGGATACTTATTTAAAAATGTTTATTTACATCTTAACAAGCTTTGAAAAGACCCAGCTCGCTTCATCACTACATAGTGAAAACAAAGATGCTTTCACTGTTCCTATATCTCTATGTACATATCTTTAAAATTACGCAACAGATTATTTTTATTGATTGATAGAGTAATTGAAGAGGAAGGTTAATGTGTTTAAAACATCCACTAAATAGCGGATAGATTGCACTTGTGCGAAGTCGGGACAGATCGCTAGTTGTTGTCTATCGACTAGTTATTTGTTTCACTTGAAGCAAACTAATATAAATTGATGAAACGTGTTTTAAATGAAGTCGAACTATAAATATAAGATATCTTTAAGAAGAACTGATGAAACTATGCATAGAAGTTATAGTTGACTGCAAAGTTGGCGCAGTGAGTGGACAAGCGGCAGCCGTGCAATCAATTCACGGTTCAACAGGTTTCTGTTGGGTCTGAGAGTGATATGTGTGTGAAATAATACTAATAATAAACGCACCCACGGCATATGACAAAATTACAGCGCTAAAAGCGACTTGAGACAGGAGAAACAAATACCTAAGACCCTAATTCCCACCTCAAAAAAAAAAGTCGATTTCATTTCATTAACAAAATAAGCTAAAACCATGAAGGTACTAGAATTCTTCACATTAAGCACATCATCGTTTTAATACAATGAATCACTACATCTATTTTTTTAAGGACAAATAATATATTAGCTGCGTGAAGTCGCTCACTAGCACTCAAATCTAATCCGCTCCAACCTATGACTTGTGACTCAATAGTGCGAGGTGCCTATCTTCAGACTAATGCATTTATGCAACAGACGCTCGCCAGGATCGATACAGCGCGTAATTTGACGAAAATATTGTGGGAACCTTTTGTTTCTTACTTTCATATTTTTATATTTGAAAATAGAGTGTGTTCGTCACGTCACGTCCCTTTACATTTGGGGGGTGGACAGACATGACATACTTATAGGCACATTTATCGTCATTTTAATCAAAGAGTAGTAACAAAGTATTGGTAAATAAAAAAATTGATGGCAATACCTTCGCTCGGTAGTAACATGTATATTCACATGTTACTCTTAACATTACTATCAAACGCCTACCGATCAATGAAGTGATTATGTTCGAACGACTTCAAAGAACATGCATAAGACAACAATATTGCCATTGTAAACTACCTATTTCAAAGAACACTAAAGGGCTAAAATATTGTGACAGAAAACTCTTTGACATCATGACGTCAATAGATGGTTGTCAAACGTTGCCTAGAGATTGTAAATTTCGTCGTGAATTGTCAACACGAGTTGGTGTAATCGGTAAGGCGTGTGGATTACACCACAGAGACCCCGAGTTCGAGTCCCGCCGTAAACATGAAGTTTTTTTGTTGATGGAAGTTTTGTCGAACTTTCTGGAATATTTGAGTGAAAGTAATGAAAAATTAAGGAGCGAGAAGGCGAATAAATAAAAATGAATAACGAAATTATTGGAAGGTTCTGGAGGCATGACGATCAAAAAAAGAATAACGAAATTGAATGTTCTAGAACCTGACCGGGGGTATATAAGCGGAACTGCGGCTCACCGCTGGCAGTTGAGTTCTAAGTCTAAAGCGATTCGGAAGAAAAGGAAGAAGTGAAAAAGAAGAAAAGTGAGTGAAATAGTGAAGTGCAGTGAAATAGTGAAGTGCAGTCAGTTAAGTGAAGTTAGCGTGAACGGCAAAGTTGTGTCAGTCGGCCGGACTCTGCTGGAGAGGAACGCCGATAACTTAACTCCGTGGACGCTGTAACTTAAGCGCAATAGAAAGTCTGAAAACCGGTATTAGTGTTTCATTTCATCCAATCCCGTAACCCAAGCCCGCATAGTCAGGAACGTGACGTCAGGCACGTAACATTTGGTGTCAGAAGTGGGATTGGAGAAAAATGCCGCTAGTGCCGCAGGACGTAAGAGGAGTGAGTACCCGTGCTATGTCAGAAGCGCAGCGTGTGAGGGAAGAGGGTGCTGCAGCTCAGACCAGCGATGCAGAAGCCAAGCCTGTGCAGATGGATCTTCTGCTACAGCTGCGGCAAATGATGGCAGAACAGCTGCGTGAGCTGAAAGAAGATCAAGCGCGCCGCCAAGAAGAGCAAGCACGCTGTCAGGCAGAACAGCTGCGGGAGCTGAAAGAAGATCAAGCGCGCCGCCAAGAAGAGCAAGCGCGCCGCCAAGAAGAGCAAGCGCGCCGCCAAGAAGAGCAAGCGCGCCGCCAAGAAGAGCAAGCACGCTGTCAGTCAGAACAGCTGCGGGAGCTGAAAGAAGATCAAGCTCGTCGCCAAGAGGAGCAAGCGCGTCGCTTGGAGGACATGCATAAAGATTTCACGAAGGGACTGCAAAAGGCTGTCGAACGGGTACAAGAAGTGGAGGAAGGGTTAGGCAAGTTGAAACTTCGCGTCATGGCGATAGAGGAGAGACTGGAAGAAGAGATCTCCAAAATCAAGCAGGAAGTGACAAACCCAAGCCCTTTGAAGAGCCGAAGCCGTCTTGCAGCCGTTTTTGACGCCCCAAATGCGGCCTTAAGCGCAACGAAAGGGCTCAAGATTCCCCATTACGACGGAACAACATCCTGGACTGCGTTCAAGCTACAGTTTGAGACACTTATGGAGGCTTATGGTTGGACTCAGAAGGAAGCACAGTCAGCCCTTACCCTGGCCCTCCGTGATCAAGCGCTCTCAGTGCTGGAAGCTATCGGCGCAAGTGGGGATCTCAGCTTTAGTGCCCTCCTCGACGCACTTGAAGCACGTTTTGGAGACAGCCACCTCGAGCACGTGTACAGAGCGCAATTAAAAGAGCGTACTCAGCGTGCTAATGAGAGCCTACAGCAATGGTCCGTGGAAATCGAGAAACTTGTACGTCGAGCTTTCCGGTCGACTCCGTCAATGATTGAAGGCACGCTTCTCCAAGCGTTCATTGACGGTATTCGGGACCCAGAAGTACGAGCTGCTGTTCATCTGGGCCATCACAAGATCATGAAAGAAGCTCTGGCCCATGCATTGGAAGTGGAAGCCGTGCGTGGCAACTCCCGTACCTTACGTCTGCGGGAAATGACGACAACGGAGCAGGTACCTCCACGCCGTCGGAACTTCATGTGCTATGGATGTGGAGAGCGTGGGCAAATACGGAGCGACTGCCCGAAGAAGATGAACCGCAAGGACGCGGCGGTCTCAACTTCTGACCAGCAGGGAAACTTAAATCCAGCCAGGGCTGCGGGGTGGGCGCCGGCTGGTAGTGGAACAACCCCAACAATCTGCATCAAGCAAACCAACGATGGAAATACTCTGGTGATAGACGGTCAAGTAAATGGGAAAAACAGTCAGCTAACATTAGATACTGGAGCTTCAAGGACGGTGATAAATGTTCGGCTGCTCGAGCACAACATCAGGAAACACCTTAAACCAATTGTTGGCCTACAAATGAAATCAGCTACCGGCCAGTGCATACCGATAAGTGGAAAACTGCATGTAACAATCAAAATTGGGGAACGTGTTTATCGACATGAGGTTATTGTGGCCAAAATTCTGGATGACTGCATCCTGGGACTTGACTTCCTGCAAGGGCACCAGTGTAACATCGACCTAAAATCTGGAGTATTACTATGTGGAACTGAGGAAATTCCGATGAAGGGTGGAACCCTGGGAAAAGTTTGCTGTTTAAGAAGAACTGTTCTTGCACCAAAATCACAGACTCTCGTACCAATTGCATTACCTAGGAGGAGGGAAGGAAGTTTACCTCGAAGGTGCGCTGTGATTGATAAATCGGAACACGTAAACTCATGGCTACCGGCAAGAACTGTCGTGGGGTCATCTGATGTTAACCGCATTCCGGTATTCAACTTCAGTGATTCAGAAATTACGATTGAAGAAGGAGAGCCTGTGGGCGTATTGGAAGAAGTGGCCTGGATAAGAAAATGCTCGGAAAATCTTGTGAAGAAGGACAGTACGGGAATAGACTTTGTAACGAAAATCTTAGACGAAAACAAAAGTCTGACAAAAGTGGAGACTATGAAAGCTAGAAATTTACTTCTTCGATTCTCTGATGTGTTTTCAAGAAGCGATGGTGATATGGGCCGAACTGGTTTGGTGAAGCATAAAATAAACACAGGTGATACAATGCCAATTCGTCAAAGGCCCAGACGCATACCATTCGCTCGTGAGAAAGAGGTTGAAGAAATGATTGACGATATGAGGAAAAATGACGTGATAGAGCCCTCTTCTAGCCCTTGGTGTTCACCTGTCGTGCTTGTCAAGAAGAAAGATGGTTCAACGAGGTTTTGCGTAGACTATCGACGATTGAATGATGTAACCAAGAAGGATAGCTACCCGTTACCAAGAATCGATGACACACTTGACACACTGAGTGGCATGAAATGGTTTTCAACGCTCGATCTGAAAAGCGGCTATTGGCAGGTGGATTTGGATCCCAAGGACAAGGAAAAGACCGCATTCTCAACTGGGAAGGGACTCTGGCAATTTAAGGTGATGCCATTTGGATTATGCAATGCACCGGCAACCTTTGAGCGTTTGATGGAACAGGTGCTGGCGGGACTGCTGGGCGAAACCTGCCTAGTTTACCTCGATGACATCATCATTGTTGGACGGGATTTTGACGATCATCTAAGGAAATTGGAAAAGGTACTCGATAAGCTGCGTGGAGCAAATTTAAAGTTGAGTCCAAAGAAATGCTCTTTCTTCAAGCGCGAAGTGAATTATCTAGGACATGTTATTTCTGAGAGAGGAATTGAGACTGATCCAGCCAAGACTGCCGCTGTTAAGGAATGGCCAACACCTAAAGACAAAACGCAAGTTCGGGCATTTCTTGGATTGTGCTCGTATTATCGGCGGTTTGTGAAAGGATTCTCGGACATTGCCAAGCCTTTGCATCGATTGACAGAGGAGAAACGTGCCTTTATCTGGGACGAGGATTGTGAGCAAGCCTTTCGAGAACTAAAAGAACGGCTTTGTAACACACCAATTCTCGGATACCCCAGTGCGAAAGGAATATTCGTAGTTGATACGGATGCCAGCAATATTGGAATAGGAGGTGTCCTTTCACAACGCGATGGTGAGCAGGAGAAGGTTATTGCTTACTTCAGCAAGTCACTATCCAAGCCGGAGAAGAATTATTGCGTGACCAGGAGGGAATTGCTGGCCGTAGTCAAAACTCTGCACCATTTCAAGAAGTATTTACTGGGACGGAAATTTTTGATCAGAACTGATCACGCTGCTTTGAAATGGCTGCTTCAGTTTAAGGATCCCGAAGGCCAAGTAGCCAGATGGTTGGAACAACTTCAGGAATTTGACTTTGAAATCGAACATCGCGGCGGAAGAATTCATGGCAACGCAGATGCATTATCGAGACGCCCATGCGTGGAAGATTGCAAGCATTGTGCCAAGAAGGAAACTGCTTTTCTTAAGGTGATAAGGACTGATACTGTTGACGAGGCATGGGGAGATGATGCGATGAAATTAGAACAGGAAAGAGATGCAGATATCAAACCAATACTGGAGTGGCTACGAAGTGGTAACAAGCCAAGTTGGAGTGACGTCGCCCAATATAGCGCGGTAACGAAAGGTTTATGGGCACAGTGGAAAAGCCTTACGCTGCATAACGGACTTCTGTGCAGGAAATGGGAATCAACAAACGGCAAGGACGAGCATTTGCAATTGGTGGTGCCTCGTTCAAAAATAAGGGATGTATTAAAAGCGTTCCATGATGGTTCTTCTGGAGGACATTTGGGAATTAGGAGGACTTTGGTGAAGATCAAGGAGAGGTTTTATTGGTTGCATTGCAAATATGACGTCGAAGATTGGTGCCGGAAATGCACTAGTTGTGCAGCTGTCAAGGGTCCACAAACAAGAAGCAGAGGGGCGATGAAAATCTACAATGTTGGTATGCCTTGGGAGAGAATAGCCTTAGACATCGCTGGACCATTTCCAATCACTGATTCGGGCAATCGCTACGTTTTAGTGGTTATGGATTATTTTACAAAATGGCCGGAGGTCTTTGCCATACCGAATCAAGAGGCAGTAACTGTAGCCACGAAGTTGGTAAACGAGGTATTCACCCGATTCGGAGTGCCCTTGGAGATGCACAGTGATCAAGGACGGAACTTTGAATCCCAAGTTTTCCAGGAAACTTGTAAACTTTTGGGAATCCATAAGACTCGAACGACCCCTTATCATCCACAGTCAGATGGAATGGTCGAACGCTTCAACCAAACATTGGAGCGACACTTAGCAAAGGTGGTTGACAGCCATCAGAGAGATTGGGACACTTACATACCTCTCTTCTTGCTTGCCTATCGGACTGCTGTACATGAAAGTACCGCAAAGACGCCTGCATTTGCAAATTTTGGAAGGGAATTGAGATTACCGGCAGATCTTGTATCGGGCTGTCCACCTGGTGACTCTCGCACCGAGTTTAGCGATTACATAAGCGAGTTAAGGGCAAAAATGTTGGACATTTATGAGCAGATCAGGGAGGCCGGTCTTCAAGCTAGTGATCGCGCAAAGACGCGCTATGATCGACGAGCCAATTCTGTTGGGTTTGAAGAGGGGTCATTGGTCTGGCTTCATAATCCAGTCAGAAGGAAGGGAAAATCTCCAAAGCTGCAACCGAGTTGGGAAGGTCCTTACGAGATAGTCACGAAGATCAATGACATTACTTACAGAATTCGGAAGTCTTCAAGGAGCCCTTTGAAAGTTGTCCATATAGACAGGTTGGCGAGGTATTACGGCAGCAACGATGCTCGGGACGAGCGAATCTAAGAGGGGGGCAGTGTGACAGAAAACTCTTTGACATCATGACGTCAATAGATGGTTGTCAAACGTTGCCTAGAGATTGTAAATTTCGTCGTGAATTGTCAACACGAGTTGGTGTAATCGGTAAGGCGTGTGGATTACACCACAGAGACCCCGAGTTCGAGTCCCGCCGTAAACATGAAGTTTTTTTGTTGATGGAAGTTTTGTCGAACTTTCTGGAATATTTGAGTGAAAGTAATGAAAAATTAAGGAGCGAGAAGGCGAATAAATAAAAATGAATAACGAAATTATTGGAAGGTTCTGGAGGCATGACGATCAAAAAAAGAATAACGAAATTGAATGTTCTAGAACCTGACTGGGGGTATATAAGCGGAACTGCGGCTCACCGCTGGCAGTTGAGTTCTAAGTCTAAAGCGATTCGGAAGAAAAGGAAGAAGTGAAAAAGAAGAAAAGTGAGTGAAATAGTGAAGTGCAGTGAAATAGTGAAGTGCAGTCAGTTAAGTGAAGTTAGCGTGAACGGCAAAGTTGTGTCAGTCGGCCGGACTCTGCTGGAGAGGAACGCCGATAACTTAACTCCGTGGACGCTGTAACTTAAGCGCAATAGAAAGTCTGAAAACCGGTATTAGTGTTTCATTTCATCCAATCCCGTAACCCAAGCCCGCATAGTCAGGAACGTGACGTCAGGCACGTAACAATATCTACAGCGTCTTAAATAATATTTGTAGCTCAGAAAGTGCTGCTTCACAACTACCGATACACAAACAACCCAAATACATTTATTCGCAGTAAATTTCCCGTATACAATCGAAGTTCTGACCCAAATTCACCGTAAAAATACCCTAGCAAGTTATTTATACTTATCCATAGCTAGCTAGGGATACACAGCGACAATATAAAACTTTCCTTCTACCTCCGATTCCTCCGAATAGATGAAAAATAAATAAAAAGAAAGGTAGATGTGAAACAAAGAGTCTTAACAAGTAGCGAGTAAATCGGATTTGTGAGGGTATTTGAATAAGAGGCAAAGCAAAATTTGAATAGCTTTCGAGAATTTTGTTCAAAATAACAATAGAAGAAAATAAAACGTTTCAATTGTTCCGCGCGTAATTCCGAGGCGTATACGACGATCTGAGAGTTCTTTATCTCCGAGTATATCTACTGAGAATGTTATTTGTAGCGAATGCAGATCGATTTATATTGAATTTCTTATTCTTAAGTAATATTTTTATGTTTACTCTGCCTGAATTGCCGGTTGGAGAATACAGTTGTTATGTGCTTCATTGTAAATCGACCTACTTTATCTTTGAGCGATAAAATGTATGATGATTTGTGAACAGATCAATCAGATATTGTTACCATTCTATTTACATAGGATTACTTGGCAGTGGCGCAAAATATAGAACCTCTTTTTATCTATAATATGTAGGTACTTATTACGTAACGTGTTGTCTTACACTTGTCGTCAAATGCAAACTTTATCGCCAGATTTATAAGTCTTGGGGGATAAGGGGCTACACATTACCATAATATTACCCTCGAATGCAGACTTTGTACAAAACTACAATATATTGACAATAGGCTTACTTACTTTATTAAAATAGAAATCATAATATAAGGTACAAAAGTGTTGTTTTGCATACAAATTCTTGGCCAAGTACTTAGTCTTAAACTGGAGTCGATAAAAATGTCACATTAAACTAATGTTGTGCAAACGGATTAGGTAATGCGAACCCCGTAGCAGCAGCACGTGGTAGTAGTAATATTACAAGTTCAACACAAATGCATCAAGATTCTGCTAAGTGTATAAGTATACTTACTTATAAAATATTAGAACCAAAACAATTAAATACAAAGTACAAAATTTAGTCAAAAAAAATAAAAAAATCACATCAGAATTTTATTCAAGTAAGATACTATATAGATACATAAGTAAGATACTTAAAACTTAAAATTGTCTCAACGCGGAAATCGAAGACAAAAAATGATTGGTCTTACTTCATCATCATGAATCCATAAGTTAACATTCACTGCTGAGCAAAAGCCTTTTTGTACATAGGAAAAGGTATGAGCATGAATCACCACGCGTACCTATTAAAGGCTATAAAAAAAACATATTTTTCTTGACGGTGAGTTTCAATCCCCATAGAAATAACACATGGAAATCACATTGGTACTTGCTAACTAACCCTAAAGCCCTAACCTAGGCGCCACGACGGGCCCAAGATCTTACTTTCTTTATGTAATAGGCCTGCTAACGAGCCGAGGGATTACCTTATGGTAAGCAATCGGCGCCGCCCAAGAAAAGTAGCAACACTACAGGAGATATGAGTGCGTTGCCGGTCTTTTAGGGATGAGGGTTTCGGATATTTAAGGATCGGGGGGAGGGGTAGGGATTGGGTCTCCGGGTCTCCTCACACGGCGAAACACAACGGTGTGGTTGTTCTTACTTCATATCACATCACATCATCAGCCTGTAGGTAAGTGCCCACTGCTGAGCAAAGGCCTCTTCTCACACGGTAAAAGGTTTGAGCAGTAATAAACAAGTAGGCTCAAAGACGTCGAACTTATAATTTGAAATTATAAGCCAAGGTTTCCTAATGATAAAAAGTAATAATCATAGAAAGTACATATAACTCGAAGTAAGTCACAACGGTACTTCCCAAATTTCGAACCCGCACCCTCATGCATGAGAAGCCTTAACCTCCGGTCCACCACGACCGTGACAGTAAAATGTACTAAAAGCAATCGTTCATTTACTTATAGCCATCCACATACTTAACAACAGATATGTATATATCGTCAAAAGTAAAAAATACTATAACTATGCATACAGGTATAACAAGGTATCACCTGATTAATGTTTCTTACCCAACACAACACGATGAACCACAAACATAAGGGAACCAATAGCTACAACAATATTCCGATCAATCACATTACCCACCTTTAACCTACTTGCAAAGTTTATTAAAATAATCGATTCGCCTTATGGGGTGAGCACAATAGAACTAAAGTACTGCGTCACTTCCCTCAACGGTTGTATACCTGTTGGTTTTAGTATAATGAAAGCATTTTGGCTAATTAAAGAGCTGCGTGAACTTTGATTTTGTATATGCTCGTGCTTATAAATCTTTCTGATCACTTTCCATCATGGTTGCCAGGTTCATTGTTTTACTCTCTGATTTCCTCGGGATGCAGACCTACACGACTGGAGACAGGACCGATGGATTTACGTGCTCTCACTCTCTTTGACTCCGGGCTAACGTAGAATCTCCGAGGCACGTTGCACAGCAGCCTGCCACCCAGCCATAGTCACTGCGCCAACCGTGGCATCAATGATAACCACATCGTAGAAGACACTAATAAGTATCTAATTATTCTAATCATCGCCAGAAATCATTCACTGATAAACATAATTTAAGCGTCCCAAATGAGTTCCTGATGGATCAGCTAAAAGCAACCAGCTTACTTAATTGCTAATTGGTTTACATTAATTGAATTTACGAGTATCTATATTTCTGCCTAATTTATTTTCTGCGTTAAATAAATATTCAAAATACTTTGTTATTTATTTTTATCTATATTTTGTAACAAGTTATGTTGTTTTTTTTTGTTTAACTTTTAAATATAAGTTACTTCTCTGTCTGTTCAACTTAATTCCAATTAAATTCCTCTAGATAAGCACGAAAGTCTTATAGGTACTTCTTTGTCTTGGTTTTTTCTTAAATTGACATAAATTCGTATTTACGAGCAGTACTCAAATCTTACCTAGGTACGTCGACGACTCAAATGAATATAAATTTATATGTCCGTTTAAATATCGATTTCCCTTAAAGTACTTACCTTTTACGAAACCCGGATCCAAATATCCCAACACATTGTTGAGCTTATGAAAGGTTCAATTCACAGCACACACCACAATGCGACAAATCGTAAATATTTGTATGGGCGCGTTTTCCTTGCGTTTAATCGCACAAAGCGTGAAAATCTAAAGTTTTGCACCGTCACCTTTATAGGCGATTACGTTTTCTTCAGTACAATCCATCGATTCGAGAAAAACTGGAGGTGGTAAATAAGACATGGAGTTGACTGCTCAAGAAATTAACATTTCTCATAGTGTTACGAATACCTATGACTGTGAGAAGTACCTACTACGAGAAGACTTACAGACTGCTAAACTATATTACAAACACTACAAAACTACAAATTGGCTATTACTTTTTAACAGCTGTTATTACATAGATACTAGAGATTATGGGATTCAAAACCGTATTATTATTTATATGTATCAAATAAAATTACTTGATATCTTCACATAGCTACGTAAGTGACCTTCTGCGACTTCACCATTTTCGCCAAAGCAATGCAACTTCATCCAAGGCAGAAATATTCTTCAATAAAGCGTAAACAAATTCCTCAGTTGTCAACAATGACATAGAGATTCTTCTGGTGTACGTAAGCTCCAACGATAAACTAATACTATAAAACTTTTTAATCCGTAAGCAGTATTCGATTCCATGTTCATATTCTGGAGTTCGGACTACATTGTTTCGGTTAGTCCTGCTCTGGAACTGACTTGTACAAGTGTGGCAATTTTACCAAAAAACGTACATGGGCGAATAAATTAAAAAGAAAATACCACGCTTCCATACAGACAGCTTTTCTGCAGCCAATTAGGAGATAAATTTTGGCCTACCTTATCCAAATACACATTCTTCCTGGGTGAACACAAAAAAATCGTCAAATCACGTCGATTAGTGTCCCGTGCTCTACAAAACTCATTGTTGGCGACACCACAATACTCCGAAACGATCATCGACACAACTGTTATACAATCTAATACAGTAATATCACCCTGTCATTTGTATACGTCAGCCCTTCACGTATTTATAGGACGGACCACGGGAAATTATGACAGTTACCTGTGAAAATTCAAGTGGAAATCAGTTTAATTTGTGCTACAGCATTCTGAAGATGTTTCATTAGCTGAGTGTATATTATTCTTATGGGTTCCGGGTCTGATATCCTAGTTAAACCTACATGAGTATTAGACCAGTGATTTTAAAATACCCGAGTAACCCGTTTACTAAATTTAAGATGGATGCAATGGATACGCAAACAGAACCCTTAGATTTATCAACAAAAGGCAAAAAAATTAATAAAATGATGAACATAATCGACTTTAAATTCTTAGAAGGGCTTAATAATCATCTAGTCAAGTTATATGAAAGAACGAGCTTGGTATGTAGCAAGGAAGGTTACTGCCTGCCTCAAAAGACCACGAATATGAAGAATATACTTCCATGTCAAGTTTGTTTGAAGACTTTTGACCGACCTTCGTTGCTGAAGAGGCATATGAGGACGCATACAGGTAGGTCACTCAATGGGAGCAGAGTGTAGATTATAACAGCTCTATTGCCCAGTCTGCCAATTAATTAAAAGGTCATATTTTATAAATGTATCTATCATAGGTACTTACTGCAGACACAGCTACTAAAGTGTAAACATTCAGAAGGAAGGTAACAGACAAATCCTGAGAATAGAGGATTCTATGAGCACATTTTGTACTTATTGTAATTGTGACTAGTTTATAGGATGGACGTAGGTAATTAATGTCAGTTCTACAAGTGGAGCGATTGTAATCCGCCCCGCAATCCCCTAGTGCTGATTGATTCCACATACTTAGTTAGGCTCATTGTGAGTTAGTTAGAGTAGGTATACTTGTCTATATGCGACTGTCTTAGTGCGTTCATAACGTTATTCTCATAACCGAGTTTCTTTCAGCATTTCTTCTGAGAGGAGTCAGATAGTGAATGCTGGCTAAAATTGCTGTTTAAGGGCCTATTTAATAAAAACAGTTATAATAAGTAACACATGTTTGCATACTGTACGGGTATGACCATAAAGAGTGAACTACCATTATTTATTTAACAAGTAGAAGTTTCTATGGTCATCCATATTGTTTCAGGTGAAAAGCCACACATCTGCAACGTGTGCAATAAGGGCTTCAGCACGTCTAGCTCGCTTAACACGCACAGGAGAATACACACCGGTGAGTTATTTTATTAGGCACGCACTAGCCGTTTGGTGATGCCGACTACAGGGTAGATTTCATCTATTAAAACTTCAACTCTGCCCTCGGGTTTCATTACAGTCGACTAACTACCTAAGTACCTACCTACTTACCTGTTCACAAGTGTAGTCAAATTTAAAAGCGGTATCTAATAAGCCTGATTGCTTATTGTAAATTTGCTTAACGTTAATGTGTTTGGAACTGTATCACGATTAGTTTTCTGTTTGGTTGGTTAACTTAGGACAGGTCAATCTGTTGATTATTTTGGGGCACCGAACATCATAAGCGTGTCGATCCCCTACAATGAGCTAATTCGCTTTAGGCATTCAGATCTACCTAAGAGTCTAGAGCTTAACTGCAGTTTTATTCGAAATTCATCTAAAAATGCTTAGGTATTACATAGCAATGTAATAAGTGTAGACAGAAAGCATTCAGATCTACCTAAGAGTCTAGAGCTTAACTGCAGTTTTATTCGAAATTCATCTAAAAATGCTTAGGTATTACCTACATAGCAATGTAATAAGTGTAGACAGAAACAAGCTGATTATACTGATAGCAATTGTGTTTATGAAATTATTTTCCGCAGGTGAAAAGCCACACAAATGTCCTGAATGTGGCAAATGTTTCACTGCCAGTTCCAACCTGTACTACCACCGGATGACACACACGAAGGTGGGTGGCACCAAACTAAGTGGTTAATAGGTTCCCTATCATGTATCTATATAACCTACCTACTCAGGGCAAGAGTAGTCGTGCTGATTTTCCCCCTCAAAAAAAAAAGATACGATTTCCTCAATCGTCACCAGCGTACCTAACTTCAGAATAAGGTTTTCGGGTTTGAATTTCGAATCGGACTGTTTTAGAAATTAAAACAAAATTTCGAAATAAAAAAACAACCGACACATTTTGCAATAATTAGGTACCTATGCCCGATATAATTGAAAGGTCGTCGATAACATAACTGTTCTCTCAGCTATAGTTACTTAAAGTATTTTTTTAACTTACCAAGTTCTGGCAAGAGAAAAGTTGACGATCCGCCTAGAAATAAATTGTAGCGATATCTAGCGCCACTACATAAACAACAGCACCAATCACGAGCAAGAATCTACATCGCGCTATAAGAGTTTTCCACACAATTAGCACCCATACAGATATCCCGACAACAACCGTCGGGCAGTAGCCCACCAGGCACGAACACCTCGCCTGGTCGGAGGATCCTCCCTTTTCAATGGAGGATGAGGAACTTTCCACCCTGTTCCTCATACCTCTAAACTGGTGACCCCGAGCATGAACATCAACGCAGCCTTCGTGCAACTACGTCATAGCCATGACGTCATCACTTTCTCGAGCTTTCAAGCAGCGAGTCTACAGTCAGCTAGCTTCCACGGCTACAACGGGTTCCCTGACCACCAGCATGCAGCCGACGCGCATTCCTGGTCAGCACCTACAGCCTCATCAGCAACTTCGGCTCAGCATACTGCACCGGCCGGTCAGCTAGCAGAGACGTACTCCCTCTCCTGGTCGACGCAGCAGCTAGCCACTCTTCAGCACTGCACCACCCGACTCACTGGGGCATCTTCGCAGACAGATTCGACGCACTGAAACCATCAACTGGCTCGACAAGCATCTCACAGACGACTCAACCAGCTGACGACCTCCGGTCTCGGAGGGGAGTGATGTAGCGATATCTAGCGCCACTACATAAACAACAGCACCAATCACGAGCAAGAATCTACATCGCGCTATAAGAGTTTTCCACACAATTAGCACCCATACAGATATCCCGACAACAACAGTAGCCCACCAGGCACGAACACCTCGCCTGGTCGGAGGATCCTCCCTTTTCAATGGAGGATGAGGAACTTTCCACCCTGTTCCTCATACCCCTAAAAAATGATCACTACCTACTTAGGCTAGGTAGGCATTTTTATTCACCTTAGTCTATGCTGTCTACGACCGTAATAAAATATTATTCCGAAAGTTTTCCTAATTTCTATGTCTATCTATATTTTATCTAACTAATTCTTAACTTTTTTGTATTTTTTTTTCTCTTTTATGAAATGTGATGTAAGTTAAGTAATTTAATATTATTTTATAAGCTAGTAATAGCTGTCTCTGTTATTTTAAGATCCATGTAACTACCTTAACATGCAAATAAAGAATTTGAATTTATCTCGCAAATTCCTCGCGGGCGGGAACCAAGTGGTAAAAGCTATCGATTAAACCACTGAATCGATTTGGATGAAATAAGGTGCAAAGATTTGAGATTCTATTCCAAAGGAGTGAGAACACTGCGGATACAACCAAGGACTGCTGCTCCTAATGTTAATACTTAGTTTTCATAATGAAAATTTTATACAAATGGAAACCACATGTGAAAAACACGGGACTAAATATCATTTGAAGTCTACAATCTACAAAGAGTAGAAATCAGGACTACTTAAATATTATTTGAAGCCCATAATCTATATTCTACCAATTACCGAGCCGTTTTTCAATAAATTTTATTGAGCTGTAGAATAGACTTTGAAAAGAGGGATATAGGTAACTTAAAATATACATTCCAAATCCGTTGAAGCTGATGACTATGTATATGGTTCCAGAACAAGCCCCACAAGTGCGCGTGCTGCCCGCGTTCGTTCCCGACGCCCGGCGAACTGCGGGCCCACGCCGCCGCCGCACGACATGCCTGGCCACACGCATGGACACTTACACGTACGATATACACACTAATTCTCATCATCATCATCATCTTACTACTTACATCTTACATCATGATAAGACTGCACGGTTGGCGCAGTGGCTCGGCAACTGGCTGCTATGCTACGTGTCAATTTGTGTGATACACAATTTTTGCGGGTCTGAGTGGCTTGTGTACAGTACGGCCGACGTATCTTGGCGAGTCTAAAGTTAGCCGTTTGTCTGTGCAACGGATCTTTTAGGAACAAAATTGTGTACTGCGCAGGCAGCTAATCGGCTAACTTCAGACTCGCCAAGATACGTTGGCGGTATTCTATGTAACCAAAACGACAACGCAAAACCACGACGCAGGAGTAAATCCTTGAATGGGACTAAGTTTTGAAAATTTTGCAACCAATGATTCCGATATTCTTCATTATATCAACTACAAGGCATTCACTAACGAACATAAACCACCCTCAATGAATATAGATCAACCGGCTGGAAGCGACATTCCTACGAACCATTTCAGGTCATTTGACCTTCATATAGGGTAGATGACCTACGTTTTACTAGACAATACATGTCCTCCATTCAAAAACTTTTGCCCTATCGATGGTTGTTTCTACGAGCTATGTGCCCTGCCACTGCCACTTCAGCTTGCTAATCCGAAGACCTGTGTCAACGACATCTACATATTTATCTGATAGGCCAGCAAACGAGCTGACGGATAACCTAATGGTAAGCAATCGGCGCCGCCAATAGACACTCGTAATACCAAAGAAGTTACTAAAAGTACAATAATTAAGTTATAGTGTACAATTATGCCTTTACAATTTGAACTAACTATAGGCTTTGTCGAGAAAAACAAGTGCATTCTGATCAATGTGACTACGTAACTAACAAACCAACAATATTTAAAAAATGTCTTGTTGCAGGCCTCCCCACGCTACCAAAAGCAGCAGGAACATCTCACAAATAAAATACAATGTCAACATTATTAAACTCTTTTATTTATTCTTCTACTTTTTGTCTCTTAATATCTTCTGATTGTTCACTCTCACTGTTCTTACGTTTCTCTCCACATTCAGCCTCAATTTTAAATTTTTGTTCACTGTCAACTTCCATTTTTACTTTCTCCTTATTGTCAGTTTCACTTACTTTCTCTGCACTGTCAGCATCCTTTTCTTTCTCTGAACTTTCATCTTCTTTTATCTTATCTGTACCATCAGCTTCTTTGTTCTTTTTTTCTGTATCATCAACTTCCTTCTTCTTTTTGTCCCCTCCCTCACTCTCTTCAGTAGTTGAACTCTTGCGAGATTTATGGTAATTATTTTGAGAAGCTTGGTTGTCGCTGGAAGTGTCCACTTTGAGTAACTCTCTTAACGCCATCGTCGCGTAGCAACTTGCAGGCAGAGTCATGTTTAGTAGAAGAGCTCTATATTTTCCATCTGAAACAATTGAACCATTGATTTGAAATTAAAACATTGCTAAACATTAATAGCCACATAATTAGGTATTGTCTGGGTAATAAGAAAATACATATTAGATTATTAGATTGAGAAAAAAATACGTTTACGTTTTTACATGCACTTATAATGATTTTGATAAATAAAATAACATTAGCTATTTACAATTGTGCATTAGCGCTTGACACACACTTCTTATAATGTATGAACCACAGGAACTTTTTTAAAGTAGAAAAACAGAGTGATTACCTAGGGAGATTGTATCCTTAAAATAATAATGTAAAGTATTGATAGTTACCATCTCGGATGGCGGTGATAGTGTTGTTGGTGAGTTCGTCGAGGTCGGAGGCGATGAGGTCGGCGAAGGGGTCGGAGTACCGCACGGTACGCCAGCTCACGTCGCGCGGCCGGACCACGACGCGACGGTACGCCCCGCACAGACGGTAGCTCCTGGGGTAAATACAACCTTATAGATATTCGTTCAAACTACTAATCATTGACAGTCCATGATCACTAACTAAATACTGCACTAAAACCCTTCAGAGGGTTTACTTTAACTTGCAGTTGTCAATTAAGTCACCCAAAATTCAAAGAATGCTAGAGTAACCATTGGTTGTAAGGAATTTTCTTTTGCTATTATTTTTTCAAAATACAACAAACTCATAATTTCATCATTATTAAGGCGAGGTGGGCCCAAATTTACGTTTTTTAAAACAATCTGAGACAAAAACTACAGTGTTTTAAATTACAAAAAAAATATATGTTTTAGTTGAGGATCTTATCTAGTCAAAATCGCATTCAGTTGAAAGACCCGATGAACTTCACTCGATAGAAAAAAATCGCAAAGTTACCCTTTTTTAAAACGTTTTTTCAATATTACGACTATATTACTGATTTTTTACGTTTAATTTTTGTACTATAATAAAGAAACTCATTAGTTACAGACAAATTCGCAGAGTTAAAATTGATAAAATGATTTTCTTAATTACTATGTTTCATTAAGTTTTAAAAGCGGTCGCGGCGGCTCAGATATGTCCGATTAGTCGCGTGCTGGCGCTTGTCGACGACGGACCTGTGTCAGTTTCTTCAGCGACAACTACATGCACCAAATCATCTCTTTTTGAGAATTTATTGCTTTGCAGTTATAAATCATAATGGGTAATAAAAAACGCAGGCGAAAAAAGTCGCGTAAAGTGGTAAAAGACACAGAAAGAATGCACTCCAAAGATATGTAAAGAAGTACTAATTTACGTAAACATTTTATTTGTATTGCAATGTAATTTGTTCGCAAAATTAAATTTTATTTTATTTAGCTTCTGATTGGTAAATGCAAAATTTATGATTATTCTAGTATAGTTTATAAATATATTAGTACCGCTGATCGCTTAAGATGATCGCTGAAATTAAGTGTCCTTTAACTGCTGTAAAAAAGGTCCTACCAGTGCAGTACAGCATAACAAGCTAAAATTTTAAAATACGACAAAAAGACTTGCACGTCCACTGTAAATAAAAAATCAAATTGTTTTATCAAATACAAGGACAAGGAACTTCACGTTACTGAAAGACGATTTTGTCTGCTCGGCATCTAGGGTGGAGAAAATGAACCCTTGCTTACAGAACGTATCGAAAGGGACGATAATTTCTGGAAGACACAATTGTTCAAGACAAATACCTTTTGAAGAATTTTAAGATGTTTACTTGGCACCGACTTCAAGATTATAAAATGGTTATTAATATTATTTTCTATTATACTAAATGAAAACATGTATTAATTTCCACAAAGAAAATTTATGTTTTGCTTTAAATTTTTAGTTTACTTTTTGAGTTGGAATATTTTTGTTAAAAATTATTTATTTCACCATTTTAAGTGTTGTAGGCAGAGCCAGCAAGTATAATGGTTTTCGAATGAGAAGACGATTGCTACTTGAGACCAAAAATCACGAAGTAGTCCTGAGTTAGTCAGTGTTTAGTTAGTTTAGCTGTAAATCGTTGAGGGATTCCCTCGACTGTCAATGGTTTCCATCTATAGGTGCGAAGTTTGCATCGTTATAAATGAATCAAGTCCAAACACGAGGTACTTACTGTGAACCGTTCCCTGAGCTGCTCTTCGTTCTCATCATTAGACCCCTAATGACAGTCGCGATCAATCTTGGTGCAAAGTGCTCACCAATACGAATCATTCAAGCCCAAACACAAGTTAACTACTGCAAATAATAAAGCAGATCCCTCGACTGTCTTCCGGCTCCATCATTAGGTCGACTTCGACCATCGGCAAATTGTAGCTTTGTAAAAAGCCTACTAAAAAAACATGCAAAAGCACTAGTCGTCCCTACAATTTTCGAAAGTTCCCCTCGGTTTCCCTAGGATTCCATCATCAGGTCCTGACCTCATGAAAATGGGACTCTCTCGGGAGTATAACCTTTCAAACAAAACAAGAATTTTGGAAATCGGTTCATAAATGGCGGAGTAATCGGTGAACATACAAAAAAAAACAATCAGCCGAACATAGTACCTCCTCCTTTTTTTGAAGTCGGTTATAAAAAGAGTTTTTAATTAATTAAATCTTTTATTATTGAGTTGAAAGGATAACTCGGGTTTGTGCAAGTGGGCGTCAGACAAATTGACCTACTGCCTGCTTATCTGTGATGTGACACTCCCCGCGACGTTAGCGCACGGGTCGCTTTACGGTAAACGCGGGCAACTCTTGGTAGCGTTAAATACCTATTTCGCTTGGCCTACCTGCCCTTAAGTAAGCAACTGAAGTATTAAAGGAACCTTGAAACTGACTGATAGTCGTCATTCTTTTGATGTGGACAGGTGCTGAAGGAATAGATAAAAATAATGTTTGCAATTTGCTTAACTGCTGACCGAAAATGAAGCAGATAACCAAAGAAAAGATGACTAGATTGTATGATTTAAAACATTAAGCGAAAAGTTTGTAATATATAATACTTAGCGGAAAAAGTCTGACCAAAACGGTAAGCACTAAGAAGCTTGAAAACTTACTTGATCTTGTGCTTCATATCCAAAGTAAGACCAACACTTTTGAGTTGCTCTTCATAATACTCCTTCATATTGGGGGGATAGTCCACCGAGTACCCGGGCAGAGGCATCACTACATCAGCCATGGTATATTTCCCGCTGTTTATATCTTCTTGTGTCAATACCTTCACAGGAACTTTAGGTTTTTCTTCAAAATTCTTTTTCTCCTTTTCCTTGACATTGCCTTGTTCTGATTGTGACGATGTCCTTTCTTTTTGTTTAACTTCTTGTTTCTCGATTTTCTCACTTTGACTGTTGTTTGCTTGCTGTTTATCAGTTTGATTATCGTCGCCTTGGTTTTCTTCTGAATCTGAATCCTCATCCTCGAATTCATCTGTGTAATTTGTGTTATTTTAGCACGGAGGTATTAAAATGTATACTGAATAGCTTCTTGTCTTGCAGACATAGACGTAAGGTAGGATTAATTTTGTTTTATGAGGAAGGTCGGCAAATGGACAGATTATCTGATGTCTGATTATAAGTAATCAGCGCCGTCCACCTGTCTGCGGACACCCGCTACACCAGAGTAGTTACAAGTGTGTTGTCGGCCTATTGAGAAAGGTTTATGGATTAGGGATGGATGGATGGGGGAAGCGAAGGATTGGGTTTAAAAGTAAAAGAAAATTGGGTAAATAAAGAATGCATTTTTTTCACTCAGTCAGTTAATGAATAAGTGAGTAAGTTTTGTTATAGCATGCGAATATGAATTAAGGTAAAAAAAGTAATAAAGGGAAAAGGTAAGGTTTAAGTGATTGATTAGTAAGTGTAATAAAGTGTTTGCGGCGTTTAATGCGGTATTTTAGTAAGTATAGTGCTTCAGTATGTGCGCAGACACAGGTGCACTTACTGTTTTCTCGTTTCGTGATTCCGATGGGATGGCTGATTTACAAAGTCGGAAAAATGTGTGAGTGAGTGAGTGAGTGAGTGAGTGAGTGAGTGAGTGAGTGAGTGAGTGAGTGAGTGAGTGAGTGAGTGAGTGAGTGAGTGAGTGAGTGAGTTAGTTAGTTAGTTAGTTAGTTAGTGAGTGAGTGAGTTAGTGAGTGAGTGAGTGAGTTAGTGAGTTAGTGAGTTAGTGAGTGAGTAAGTGAGCGAGTGAGAGATGACTGATGAGTGAGTGAGTGCGAAACGAAACGAGTTTATATGCAAATGGTTTACCTTCTTTGTCAATATTGGCGAGTGGCACGAGGTCCCCGACGGCGACACGCAGGCCGTGTCGTCGCAGTCGCTCGGAGACGGCGCGGTTCCAGAGCAGCGACTGGTAGGAGTGCAGGTACAGCAGGCGCGTGTTGCGCGCCACCTTGCCGAGCGCGCCCACCAGGTCGTTGGGCGCCTCCGCCAGCGCACGCACCAGCCGCGCCTCGGGCGCCGCGCCCCCGCGCCGCGGCAGGCAGCGCGCCGCCGCCGCCGCGCCGCCACTGCGGTACGTCGCCAGCGCGCCCGACAGCGGGCCCTCGCGACTGTCCAGGATCAGATCGATCGCCTGCAATTTATTGTAGACACTCAATTTTTCATAAAGTACATGGACATGTTTGTCAAAAATAAAATCATTGTTTTTTTAATAGGAAGCTCAAAAAGTATATCTCTACTCCAAAAACGTATACCTAGTCTAGCCATAAATACTATAACAAATAAAAAAAAATATTTTTTCTATTGCAAATAACATTTATTACTTTTACAGTATGTAAGTTTAATACATAAAATATAAAATAATTTAATACATAGAAAGCTTATTCGAAGTGGTCTCCATTAGCTGCAATACAGTCCTTTAAACATTGAGGCCAGTTATGAATAGAAGCACACACTCTTTCCATGGGAAAATTCTTCACTGCCAATCGTATAGATTGTTTTAGGAAGTCCAAATTATCATGACGTTTAGAGCAAGCTCTACTCTCTAAAACTGACCATAAATCATAATCCAGCGGATTAAGATCGGGACTAGACGACGGCCAGTCTTCAGCTCTGATGAAGTCGGAAACGTTCGTTTCCAACCAAGACTGCGTGGACCGAGCTTATGACCCGGCGCCGAGTCTTGCTGGAAGGACCATTGTTGGTTATTGAACATGGTGTTGTTAAGGGGCTTAACTACCTTCTCAAGAATGGTATTTTGATACACTTGTGGAAATGTTTAGATACCTTTTTCGCAAAAGTATGGCTCAGTCACTCCTCCATAGCTAACACCCCACCAAACCATCACTGAAGTCGGATAATGCCCACGTTGCACTCTGTCGACTAATTGAGAAGCTTCCTTAGAGCTTTGAGCATAAATACGGTCATTTTGTTTGTTAAAATGTTGCTCAATTGTAAAAATTTTCTCATCCGTAAACAAAATTTTTCTGTGACCTCCCTTTGCGTACCGCTTCAGTAGCTGTTTAGATTTTATCACCCTATTCTTTTTTAAATTATCATTTAAAAAATGTCCAGTGCGTCTCTTATAGGCTGCAAGTCCTAAGTCGTCTTTTAAAATACGCAACATGGTTCTAGGAGCTATCTTCATCTCCCGAGATAAAATCTTTTGCTTTCGGACAGGATTTCTTCGAATTTTTTCCCTTACTGCTTTGACCACCTTTTTCGTACGAACACTACGTGGACGGCCAGATCTTTTTCACAAACAGAGGAGGTCTCATTGTACCTATTTATAGCCCGGTACACAAACATTTGACTAATGCCAAGCGTGTACAAAGTTTTAAAAATTGCATTTGGCTCCATACCCACTTTGTGTAATGCAATCACAGCGATTCTGTTCTCTTTATCACCCCACTTCATTTTAATATCGCAAAATATTGAACAATTTATTGGCGCCAAAATAAGAAAACACAATGAAAAATTATATAACAATGACAGATTCCAAATTCAAATGTAATATTTTGTTTATTTTTAATTGTAACAGTACTTATGGCCAGACTATGTATACCTACCAAATAAATATTGCTTGTCACGAAGAAGAAAAGTTCTTTATTAACTTTCAAAGACTCCATTTTTATTACAACTTTCATAGTTATACAGTAAAAACAGATTAAATTTTTAATATAGGTACTTATTAACAGTTTATGAGTTTTATTACAATACAGGTTTGAGTGCAATCTGAATAACACTTATTTCTCTAATAATGTATCCACCACCTACATGAATAACTAAAGTAGTGAAATATACATATAAGGTACATGCGGGTATTAAAGCCTGTCGGCTAATAAGGCCTAAACATTAAAAATCTTGCTTAGAATACGATTATGCGCTCAATCTCACGCACATACATGTATATTACACGTAAAAGGCGCCACCATGCGGCAAGTGTTGGCTACCACACTCGCTCTCGCTAATGGCGTGTTAAATGTTGTCAAAAGTAGCCGCACGTCACGTTTTTACAAATATTGGCTCCGGTTAAACATAAATATTTAAATTATTATACTTATCTCCTTGCACTTACTGTCTGTATTATCGTTAACTCATGCTCGTCCCACATTGCCTTATTTATTAACGTTCTACAGTCCAAATTTTATTTATTTCGTTTTACATAAATACCTAACCTATGGGTAATAAGGCCTATAAAATTTTATAGAAGGCCTTATTATACTTATAGATATATATTCTTCAATGTTTGCATTATTTTCAAATTATATTAATTAATAATACATTCACGATGCTTCCTAAGCGAGCATTGTGATCAAAAGATGACTAATTTATGGCATATCCTCTGAAGACATCGTCTTCCACTTGCACGACTAGAAAAAGAACAATAATATCTGGGTTTCATGACAGCATAAGGCTATTAATTTTCGGGGTACTCCAGTGAACAAAGATCGTTTTGATAAATTTAATGAATGTAAGAAAAGCAATGCAGGCAATAAAAATTCAAATTCAGAAGAAGAAGAAAACCAAGGGATCTAGGAAATTCTAACCTTCAAACAAAGTCTTTTCGCGGATCTGATCGAACTAAGGACACTGAAGGCACTCAAGCGAGTTGGTACTGCCATTCCTATGAAGAAAACATACGGTTTTCTTTACATTCACAGTACACAGTATGGATGACATAAGGCAGTGCTCTCAATCCCCAAGTGGTATCATGAGGAGTGTGTTGGTTTATCAGTGGATGATTATGATAACTTCGTATGCCGTGGTGGATGTTAGATGAGGCTACTCATTTAATTCTAAAGTATTATTCTGCCATTGACTGGATAATGATTGATATCAAATACCAAAATATGTTATTTTAGTTGATTAATTGCATAGTTAAAGAAGCAGGCCTTGTTACCCTACCGAATTATAATAAGGCCTATTAAGAGCGTTTAAAAAAATGTTAAATATTGTTTAGGTTTCATGCAGAAGTTGCTATTTTTTTGTTATAGTTTTGTAGTTGCCTAAATAAACGACTGATTACCGAATAAAACTTGTTGATTCTATTATCAGTTTTGATTTTACAACAAATTTCCCTTAGCTAGGCCTTAATACCCTCATGTACCTTACATAGTCAAATATACATGTACATACCTACGACTCATAATGTTCCGAAAATTCAAAAAAAATCCTACAATTTGACAGTCACTTACATAATACTTATGACTATGTAAATTGCATAGGTAATATATCTGTGGTACCTATATATGTATACATATACCACACCAAGTACAGCTTTAGTTTATAGGCATCGGTATTTCGTAATTTTGCGGTATAAGTAAAAGTATACAGTAATCAGTGCAGACTACAATAGTATTGTAGAGGTCAACTGATAGTCACTACAAATATTTGTTACTGCAATGAAGTCACTTTCCTATTCCTTCATTGCACTCAATATCAGTCCTCCACATACTTACTCACAATTTTTCATGACCATCAGGATTTTGCAAATTAAAACCAATTTAGCACATTTTTGTTTCAATACCTACCTCTTTGAAATTTCCTTGCAACAACTTCAAGCCAATGTTGTATGTAGGTGTATCGACTCGAGTTCCGAATCGCTGGAGACCATAATAATTGATGAAACCATGTTCTTGCAGGTCCTTGCATGCAGTATTCACCACCTCATCTGAAGCTGTCACATTGCGGAGTGCAATGCGGAATCTATAAAATAACAACAATTTTTCTATATTACTAGCTAATACATGAATACATTAAAAATGTATGGAGAAAATGTTTATTCTGATTTAGCGTACCTGTTACCCTGAAGCATGCCTAACTTTAAGTTGGTGTTTTTGAATGTAAAATTCCCGACATGTATGTCCTTAAAGTACCGAGTGGCCGCCACAAAGCGACGTGGGTCTAGTCGCCGGGCGCTGAACCACTGCGACGTTTTAGCGCGACGGTCCTTCGTACCCGCGTAACCCAACATCGACGGCTTCACACTGCAAACAAGTTAGATTACACTCAAATATGCAAACAACTTTGATCGAACATACAAACTACATGTGTTTGCTTGTTAGAGGTAAGGATAGTTTCCCATGGCCTGATTAAATTGACAATCCTAATTAAATATTAAATTTAGTAAACAAAATGGAAACTCACTGCACCCCTATTCGTTCTGCAATACGCATAGCCGCATCCATTGTATCACAGTTCTCCTTGTGCACGATGAAATGCACATATTCAGCCGGCCATGTCCACTTGACTCTGTTGTCTATGCGTACTGTAGCAATTTAACAATAAATCCAAATTATGTGCCTTGTTTAGACAACATTTAAAAATAATGATAGTAATGGCAATAGAACAAATTAGGACCCTGTAAAGCCTTGCATTCAAATTATTTGAACTTACATAAGTATAGAAGCTAGATTCTATTGTCTTAGAATTACTTGAGTTAAGTTAAGAAGAATGTTAAATATTTGTGTTTTCTTACACAGCCACATCAGGTTCACCAGATCAAAACTCCAGAAAAAGGTAGTCATTGCTGGCCTTCAACAACCACTCTCTCTTTAAGTTGATCTTATTGTTTTAAAATGGTTGTAAAAACATACCTCCTTTTTTAAACTTCTGGAAGCGCATCAGTTTCTTGTCTTCTATATTCACTGTACTGCCAACAATGCTGTCACCAAATGCTTTTTTCACTGCATCATGTATCTTCGTCCTTTGTTCCTTGGTCACTCCTTCCATATCAATCTGTAATTATATTTTAGCTTTTCTTAGCATTTTTAACACTATTAAGTATATTAATATATCAAGGTGCTAATGGGATTCTATTTATAAATTTAAATGTTATTTTCTCTAATACTATATTTAGGCATAATTATATAAGGTTTTATTCCCTCCTATGAAATGCTAAAGTTCAGACAGCTACAAATAATATTATACTGAAGAAAATAGACATTACCTCAACACAGTCTGGATCTGGGTCTTTGCTCACAGCTAATGTATTAATCCTATCCCAAGTTTCCATGGGTAGGATCTCCAAGTTATACTTAGAGAGGAGCAGATCCTCATCCTCACTTACAGCCTCCTCTTCTGGGGCCTGCGGTGGCTTCAAACATGTCAGCTTAGCTATCTCACCCTGTTCATTTATTTCTGATACTTGAAAATCAGAGTATCTATGGGAAAAAATATTTTACAAAATTACGCCTTTACTGAGTTATAATAATTACCTTGTCAAATATAGACCATATAGATTTTAATTTATAATGAAACATTTATTCATAAGAATACCTTGATTTAATAATTCCATTAAAACCTTCATGTTTGCTAATATACTCTGTAACACCAATATCTTCTTCAGAGAGTCGCTTCCCAGGCGTGTCTCTTTTCTTCCACTGCCCCTTATTGGGGGAATAATTGTTTTGAAATTTATTACCAGCACTTGGGCCGTCAAAGTTGCCCCACGAACTTTTAAAACCTCTTTGATTACCATGCCACCCTCTTGGACCACCTCGCCCACCTCTAAAACTTCCTCGCATGTTGCGATCACGTTTATTATTAATCCAAGGTCTGTTTTTGTTCATTTTCTCTTAAAATCGATGCTTAACCTAAAAATACCTCGGTTGGTGTATAGTATTTATATACGATATAATAATATTGGTAATGTCTTAAATTTAAACACATTTACTAAATTCAAACGTAGGGATACACCACTACTTTCAATCTTGAATAAAATGTTTAGTTTCGAACAGATTTGTTAAAAAGCCGACACGTTAAATTTTAATGCACTTTGAGTTTTTTTTTTTTTGACAAATTGACAGTATACAGACACAAACATAAACGTTTAGAAATGAATACAATTCATTTTTCATTTGGTGATGCAAAAATTAACCGCGCGCCTCTCGCGGCGAAATTTAGAAACTGTCTAAGAAAGAATGACACTGTTTGTTTATTTATTGAAGTTACTAGCTTCCGCCAGCGGCTTCGCTCGCGTGCTATGTTGATGAAAAGCAGCCTAGAGAATAGAGAACAAAATCGAAGTATACATATTTTTTTTATTAATCGTCTCTTTTTTATGGTTACATCTTCAATAGGTAAATACCATATCACTTACAAAGTCTCCGCTATCCGCCCGTTCATCGGCAAAATGGTACGAATCTTACTAATAGGTATTATAAATATTTCATAAAACCTATGTTTTATAATAGTTTATACCGCGTCGCGTCGAGCGTGGCAACCGTTACACAAAAGTAATACTTAGAGCATGATTCAGTGTTCACGTGCGATGGCGCGATGGTTTATAATCTGAACTGCTAAGCTATCAGGAATAAAACGTGCTATTGTGAGTTCACCATAAAAGATAGACATATACTGTTGTGAAATATATTTTTGTTAATTTTATGTAGAACATTTCCATGATACATGATTGTTATGTAACTTTAACCATTAAGGCTATACACGCGACGGAAACTTAAAACTTAAACTTCTCCTGTTTTCCTTACATTTCTCTTCACTGTTCTGCTCCTATTAATTGTAGCGTGACGAAAAGTATACTATAACCTGCCCATGAGTATAAAGAATAAGTGTACCAAGTTTCGTTAAAATCCGTCCAGTAGTTTTTGTTTGTATAAGGAACATACAGACAGACAGACAGACAGACAGACAAAAATTTTACTGATTGCATTTTTGGCATCAGTATCTATCACTAATAAACCCCTGGTAGTTATTTTGAAAATATATTTCATGTATAGAATTGACCTCTCTACAGATTTATCTATTATAAGTATAGATAGATGTTAGATTATTCAGATGGATCACGATTATAAACGGAAACCTATTGCTAATAAAAGCAGAAACGACGATACAACCACATAACGATGCTGTCGCGTCAGAATGTTTGTATAAGACAGTGACAACAACAATTTTATTCCTCAAATACATTTATCTGAAATATTGAAAAATCAGCCCTTAAACAGCAAAATTCCACTTAAATCTGATTTTTATTTATAATTTATTGTTTCCGTGACGTTAATTGTTAGGAAAACTTTCAAAGTGCCGTTCTTAGACAGCTTCACAATTTTGACACTAGAGGCGCTAGTTAAAATCTGCATCGACAATTGAAATGGAATTGAGTATTATGCCGACAACAATGATAAAAAAAATACAAATCCCAGTGGATCACAACGTTAAAAAGAATATTTTAACTTGAAATCGTGGTAAGTACATAATTTACTTTACTTAAAATAAAATTGTTTTGTCATTTGCAGTTTGTAACTCATATTGTATAGGTATCCGAACTATAATCAATATTACTTTATGTAACCGAACGCAAAGTTTCCCGCTTTTACTTCTGTCAAATTAGAAACAGTAAAATCCAAATGAAACCAGAAAAATAATTTATTACTTCAGCAGGATTTTTTAAAGTTGAAATCTCTGCTATTGTTGGATATTTTTGAAACAGTTCATTTTAAATAGAAGAGAATACTGTATTATTTGTGCTTTAAAATTACTGTCCAGTGCCATTACTTACTATGCCTATGTTAAAAAGTGGTTAGTACCTTACAGTAAATATTATTGTGGATTTCATTCTAGCCGTGATAATTTACTATAAAAACTGTTACAGATAGTAGTAAGACGAGGGGAAAGGCCAAATCACGCAGTACGCGTGCAGGGCTGAACATGCCTGTGGGCAGAATTCATAGAATTCTAAAGAACGGTAACTATGCACCTCGCATTGGGGGAGGCGCTGCAGTTTACTTGAGTGCTGTGCTCGAATACTTGGCTGCAGAGATATTGGAGTTGGCTGCGAAGGCAGCCGATGATAACCAAAGAACTAGGTTAGTTAAAACTTAAAAATGTAATACACTTTTGCTTAATAATACTGTTTGTGATTAATGTAGAACTAGGTTTTTAGACAAGTAAACTGCCTTATTTCTCTCACAGTAGGTACCTAAGTTATTCTGTCGACCTGTATTAATCTTTTAAGACAAAATTAGCAGATTATTAGATATATTATTTACCTACCTTCACATTTCTTAAAATTAAATATTATTTTTCCAGAATTTCGCCTCGTCATATTTTACTGGCTGTACGCAATGATGATGAGTTGAACAAAATGCTGGAGGGTGTAACAATATCACAGGGTGGAGTGATACCACACATTGAACAGCAACTCTTACCAAAGAAGACAAATATGAAAAGTCAATATAACACTAATAGCTCATCTCAAGAGTACTAGTGTTCAATAACACAACTTGTATTTGACCAAAATCACAGTTTTTACAAAGAAGTAGGTGGGGGTGTAGATTACATGTAAACAAAAATCTATTTTATAACAGTTTAGCTTTTTCATATATAAGATGAAGCCTAATGTCTCATATTAAAAGTACATGGCTGTAATCATAACTATCACTAAGCATGATGAACTTTAATTATTCTTAAATGATGGTGTGCTACAATATCTCCCTACATCTTGTATGAAATTCTGAAATTATACTTGTGAATTGTTTATTGTTAAAATTATGTTGTGACTAAAATGTGAGTTTTGAGTAGTCCCTAGTGGATGGCTGTGTAATTTGTTTTTAATTAATGATGTAAGTGCCTAAACATATTGTGAGATTAAGCCTTGTTCCAAAAATTATTGACATGATGAAATAAAGAATGAGCGGCTTTTTTAAATGTATGAGTCGTTTTTATTTGCGTAGGCATTGTGGATTGGGCAGAGTGTATCTATATAACTACTGGTGAAAATAATACATTAGTATTTAAACTGCTGGCGCAACTTGCGATTTATTAAAATGGCAAGTTTCACTCTAAAATCGCAAGCTATTTTTTCCTTAGGTGGCAAAACAGACATCATAGAGCTTGCCCTGATGAGGCGTTCCAAGTACGAGTCTTTAGGCGCGTATGCATTCGCGTGATCTCGAATTACTAGAAATACAAACAATCCGCCCAGCGGCTCTGGCGCGTTACTTCACACGTACGAAAAACGCCTGCATTGAGAGGCACTCTCGATTGGCTCGTTTTACGCTTTAAGCGCACTTTTGGTGAACGGACGTAAGTCCCTATTCCTTTCAAAATGGAGCGTGATGAGTTGGCCTTAGAACTTTTCATTGACGAAGTTTAGACAAGGCTATTGGATATTGTTGCAACAACATACTCGTATACTCCAAAGATACCTAAGTATCTAAAACAATGAAACAAATGTTCGATTAGTTGCCTGGTTCAAGATTATGGTCAGGGAACTATTTTTAAAAAAACAGGGCAAATACTCATATAACAGAAAATTATTTGAACAAAACTAAAAATGGTAACGCGCGGTTAGTAGTTGCGCATGTTAGTCTGGACAGGCTCCCCAGACAGTGAACCCTTCAAAAACCGTAATCGCAACTTGACCAAAACGTCAGCATTGGAAGGGGGGTGTTGTTAGTAATACCCTAGTACCTACAAAACAATACAAGTAGGTAGGTTGCATTTACTGCAGTTCAATTCACACATAAATAAGAAACAACTTCGACCAGTCTTGTAAATGACATGTAATTTTAAATACTGTAAACAAGAGATCTGTTATTTAATTCCATTATATTAGGTAGGTACAATGTTTATAAATTCACATACAGATTTACCATTTTATAAAATAATAAATACAACTATTTTTTACTAAAAACGTCACTCGGATTTTGAATATCTTTACACGAATTTTAAAAGCTAGGTTCATTATAATCTAAAACACTTTTGAGTCGATTACAACCAATAACCATAATATAAAGTGATTTTCACTCGCGTTTTAGATATGACCCAGAGCATTCCAAATTTATAATAATTAAACATTACCTGAAGCGATATTTTCAATGTACACAATGTGTTTGGCGATTTTGAATTAATTAATAATTGTTAAAAATAAACATGACTGATTATCAGGTAGGGAAAGTCACTTTATATTACACAGATAAAATTAATATAACAAAATAATATTTTATGACTACAGATAAAATATACAATTGTCTGATCATACAATTTAATACAAATTAATATAATTTATATCAAAGGAACATTGGGTATAAGCATAACTAGGTACCTAGGGCACATACAAAAAATACTACAATTATTGTACCTATCTAAAACTATGAATAATATTAAAATGAATATTTAATAATAATACCAAACTAAATGTAAATGTAGCACATCAAAAAATATACACGAAAATCTTTTATTAATAAATGCAATTTCATTGATCTGAAGTTAACTTTATATAAATGTCGAGTCAATTCAAAGTACCGACACAACTGGAACAGTCAAAATAGTTGTCATATAAACTGGGTTTAGAGAATTTAACAACATTAATTATTTATTTTAACAACTGTAATACACAACTCAACGATACCGGTGATTACAAGTGGTTATTTTTATATTACTCGGCATTACATAATTTTATACGAAAATTCTCAACATTTACAAAAAGTATATAGAGATATAACTTTAAATGAGATGGACTGCACTGCACAAACTGTCCTTAGCACCGGATCTGATCCTTCAGTATTAAATCTACAGTTACTAGAATGTAGAGTTTACATTATACTCTTTGACAGTTACTATCAAAACACTTCAAATGCAACGCCAGTCCACCTCACATGTTTGTAGACAAGATAATCGAGCTGATAAGCATTATAGAACATTGAGACTTATGAAATTAAAAATAAGATCTATATCATATAAGGCGAGTGTCTTAATTGAGATCTCCACCTCTGTTCAGCTTGTAAAAAACTAGAAACATATAATTAGTAAAAATAAATTTGTATTATAAAAGAACCAAGAGATTGCACAATGGATTGACTTATTATGTACCTACAGACTGATTTATGTTACTGACTAAACAACCATATAAAATCTACTTTATTTGCGATTTATTTAACTAATTTTATTTTCAAAATTAAATGTTTTCTGTGTAAAGGTAAAAAGTAAGACTGCATAAATTACATTCTATTCTTACAATGATCACCATAGAATTGTAGTAGGCGAAAGAGTGCATAGACCAATAACAACAGGCTAGTAAAAATTTGGGCTAGCCCATTTTATTCTTACATGTAACACTGTAAAACTGGTATGTGTTTTCTGTCATCTGTTTGAAAACAAACAGGCGACTTCAAAAACCTGTAAGGGCTGATTTTTCAATAGTCAGATACTGCGAAATAAAATTGTCGCTGTCACTGTCTTATACAAACATTCTGACGCGACAGCATCATAATTATCCCAAGTAACTTTTATCTAACCATTGAAAAATCAGTTCTTAGTAAAGTCCCAAATTATCAGTCCGCAATACATGGTAAAAGAGGACCAATATGATATAAGGAAGGCTGTCAGGAAATAAGAATAAAATACGTACATCTGAAGCTGTTAATAAAATTTAAAGAAAAAAATGAGTCCAAACAGTGTAACACTTGACAATTATTTCTCTCTTTTAGAACTTTTACTTAGTAATATATTGTTAATGATTTTGCTGACATACTAAATTTAGTTAAAACAGAAATCCTAACAACCCGTCTTTTGCATTACATTATACATCGATTACATTTAGACACATAATATAATGGTAGGTGGTTTTGCTGTTATTGACAATTGATAGCAGTCTTCATGTACTCTTTCGTCGATGTCGATGTTGTATTACAGTGAAGCATCATTTGGCAGTGTTCAGTACCAAAACCTAGAGGCATTCAATTAAATGTCTAATTAAATTGCGAGATCATTGTCAAAGAGACATAACGAGCTGAACAATTTTCACTCATAAATTGGTCACTTTTTATAATGAGCAATTAAAACGCCCATCACAATATTTAATTTAATTTAGAAGATAAAAATATATAATAACACATTGCATCCTAGAATTCAATCGATTCAAATAACATTAGTAAGACAAGTGGTATAAAATCTGCGCTATCTACATCAAGGCTCACTAACGCAACTTCGCTTTCTCACAACAATAAAATATATTGGCCACAAGAATTTTGCCATTCCAATATCACTTTGAAATTTCCTTTTTGTGATAATGTCGTGTAACAAGCTCAGAGTTTAAATGTAATAAATTGGCAACAATTAAAAATAGCATTTTATAAAAGTTATCAATAATTTATATTATAGAATTGTTTGTCAGTTCAAATTAGGCTAGACATTGTTTTTGTTATGAATGTTTCTCTGATTTACTTTGGAGGCTTATTGGAATGCCTGATATGGATCATTGTCCATTTTCAAGTATTTCAGAAGTACAGAAATCCTTTTAGGAACAAATTACAAGTTGGATGTATTAGAGTCTGTAGGGGATTAGTTGCCATATAAAGATCAGTCAGTCTTTAGTGATAATAACAACAATCGGCCTAGTTTGAACAAACGCGACACGAGCAATACCACCACTCATTCACCAATAGGTAAACACAACCATTAAACTCACACACAAAACAAATGGTATCGTTTTAATGTATGCCTCCTTTATTTTTGTATCGTAGTAGGTATTCTGTTTCTTTCTTATTAAACTCATGGTTATGTACTCAATCACCTTTTTAAAAACTCTATATTCTGTGCCAATGTTATCCAGATTATAAGTGAAATAGCTCATTCATTTTTACAAAGTCTATAGGTGAAAAAATTTCATGCACGCAATTTATATATATGTAACACTAACTAATTTTAATACATGTGATAAACAATTTGGCTGGACTGGAAAAATGTGACTTATAAAACTATGAAGACAAAACCATCAAACACAAGCCATGCATACAAATCTCATACTCAAACATAAATATTAGTTAAACACCATAAAGTTAAAAAAATATTGCTCCACCTAAATTGCTATTGTTACATGAATATTCCGCGACCTTTCGCTCACGTTACACTTACACAATCGCTTTTATTGTGGCATTCGAGTAGTGAGATACTCACCAAGTGTAAACATCTCGATTGATCAGATTGCGAGTGTCACGAGTACGAGGAGGGTATGCAGACATGCAAGCGATTACATCAAATATTTAAATGTCAACTGCCATACAAAAAAGTTTGTAAAAGCTAATTTTATGAGCTTATTGAGCTGAGAGCACTTGTGTTATTATCACATATATTCTTATCAGTCGAATGCAGAACTAGTTTCTGCATTGGGTCTATAATTATTTTAGAATTTTCTTCGTTCGTAATTTGTTCCTTGTTCATACTGTCTTCTTCCTCTGAACCCTCCACTTCATTCGCCGATTTATTGTCAAAGTACGGGAAGAAATCGTAATGAGACTTGCCATTGCTTATTTTAGTTTTGTCTTTGATACATCGCTTTTTATCGTCGCTTTTGATTGTGGATATGTTGCGTTTGGAGAATTCGTCCCATCCTTCAGTTGTTTTGCCGTGCATGGGATTCCAGTCTTTCCGGAAGGAGCTTGATGGTTTAATTTCATTTGAAGAGAACTTTTGTTGTATGTCATTTATTTGGTTGTGGTTTTCTCGTGTTGAAACTATTTGACCGTAAACAGGAGTACAGTATGTAGTATCAGGCGAACTGTTACCAGTTTTATTGTCACGGTTTAAATGTGTCTGGTTTAATTGGCAATTGTTCATACCTGAATCGAATTCTGATTTCTGGCCAGCATTCAACAGTATTTGTTTCGATGACTTGACAGGTTTTTTATCACCATTTGGTCCCCTATTGGGAGAGCCCCCTTGTTTCATTTGAACATCATCTTCATTCATATTGTCTTCACCAATACCATCTATGTCATAAACCTGTAAGTCAAGTTTTATTGCATTTATCATAATCTGAAGATTAATTGTCTATGATAATGCAAATGACAAAGCAAGGTCACAAGTATGCATAAATTATTAAATGTGCATTGCTGTTATTTATAACAATAAATCTCTAAATGTATTAAATACAACAATACTTTTAATTTTAAGTTATTGATAAGGAGTTTATTATCAGATAAAGAACATACAAATGTTATGTTTTTTTACAGACAAACAAACCAGTAGTTTGATTGAACTCAAATACATCTTATTACTGAGTTAATTTTGCTTAATGGATGGATTTGAGAGAATTATGACTCTGACTACTTGTCTTCAACAGTGGACATCCATCCATCAACAAATTATGATAATGATGATGATACAAATACTTTGAGAGTGTACTAACCTTATACATAACATCTTGATTCATTCCTTTCTCCCTTTCTCTTTTATTTTGTACAGCAAGCCAAACATCCTTCAGTTCCCCCGCAAGATCTCTATCTTTCATGATGACAGGACTCCTTGCCAACACTAGCCCTGGATTCATAGCCTCCACAAAGTCACAGAGTAGACTCACTAGTGCTTCACGATCCTGGAAATTTAACACAACATTTGACATTATCTTAAAAACCCTTTTTTGGTTTATAAAAACATGTTTGTTGGTTTATTTTTGTTGAAGATATGATAAGGAGTTATCAATGCAAAAAATATCATTTATTTACCAATAAGAAATAAAAACAACAGCACTGTCTATAATGATAAACTAAGTCTATCAAAATTTTAATGACAATAAAGAAATTATACAAACACTGAGTTTCATGTTACTGTCATTAGTTTTTATAATATATTTCAAAGTGCAGAGATATTTGTCTTACCGTAGGACTGCTGGCATTTTTCCCATTAGCTTTGAGAATATCTGGATTGACCATAACTGCAAAAACTATCATTGGAGGCCTTCCTGAATTGGGCCCATAGTTCTGTGGCACCTGTAACATGTTGGTAACCATATGTAATTATTGAACAACATTGATTGAATAATAGTCTCAATTGAAATGTGTCAACTGAAAAACTGTACCAATAGATTTTTTAAACAAAAGCTAAAGGCAATTAATCTTTACTAGGAACATTATCTACCCTTAATAGTATTTGCGAAACATAAATCATAGTTGGTGCTGGGATAAACTGCTCAATCAACTGAGTGTGTACATTCATTAAAAACAAGTCAGGGTCAGTGGGTAGCCTTAGGGGCCGATTCAGGTGGTATTTCATAAAGGTATGGAGTCAGTTTTGTCATGTTTGACCTACAAACAAATAAGTTAAAGAAGAATAAGCAATTTGAATTAGTTCAGCACTAGTTGTTAGATTCAATCTGTTTTATGTAACACAATAATATAATTTACTTATCTAATAAATAAACAAATTCAATATTATGTTTACATTAAGTAGAGCAGATTTGAATTTTAATGTAAACTAAAACAATTGGAGCAGTAAACTTATCAACATACAATCAAAGCAAAATACGTAATCTTAATTTAGTAAACAAGTGGCAATAAAAACATCTATATACTTAAACAGAATTAGAGCGAAGAGTAAAAATGTAAATGAAAATAAGAAATGTACCTGCATTCCACCATACAAAGGAATGGGATCTGAATATTGTTTCGGGTTAGCTATTTTCTGCCATCCCAACACATTAATGTACAATTTCTCAGAAGTGCCCTTTATTGTATCTTGGATACACATGTGCGGTTGTGGAGGATTTTTAAACTGACGAAAAGCTCTTGAACCTCTACCATATTGAACCGGCACAACTCTCTCAGGATGATTCTGATTTTCCATAGCAACACGTCTCTGACACTAGCACATATAGATAGTTAAGATAGAATCACAAAACATTCACAATAAAATCCAATAACCAACCACTAATGACATTTCTAAAAGGCCTGCCCGACATCGAAGTTTATTGAACTCTGGCCGCGTCCAATCGTGTTGAGTATAGGAATAAACTGCACTTGATCACTCAATACTTGGTTAATTTGTGTATATGTTTATTTTAATTAAGCTCCTACTTATTTTAAGTTAACGCAAAGCTCGTAAGTGTAAAGAAAGAAATCAAAAGAAAGAGCTTCCGTGAAAGAGAAAGATAGCCTTTGTTTTTTTTTAATTTCCCGGGCGTGCAATGGTATTCTACATAAAACCAAACGAAAAAACTGTAATAGAAATTGAGACTCAAAATTTAATACGAAACTAGATGTTAAGTTAATTTTGCAATTAGGAAATACTTACGAGGCTAATTAAAAGAAAGAGATTTATAAAAAATACTTTCATTTATATTACATGTTCCACCTTGTTTTTTATTTTCCTACTAGATGGCATTTTAACTTCAATACGTTCATTTACAATGTTCTCACAAGATGGCGCTTATTACAAATTAACTAAAAAGGTTTACAAATTATTAATTTCCGTTGTGTGAAATCTTTTTAGACTATAATATAGTACACTTATTTTATATTATATAATAATATACATTTAAATTTGTATGAAAGAGCTGCAAACGAGCCTGCATATCATCTAGTGGTAAGCAATCGGAGGCTCCCATGGACAAGTCGGACACGATGTTGCCGAAACCAAAGGAATAAAAACTGCAGGTGCATTGCCGGCATTTTGTGATTGGTATTGGGGCAAGGATTGGACCTTCAGTAATCTCACACACATTGTTTCACGTCAACATTGTGTGAGGCTGTGGCATCATAAGGCAACGGTCAAGCTAATACATTCGGTACACCGGTTTGGTTCCCCTTATCACACGGCACTATTATAGCTCTCCCGCACTTGGTGGATATCAATATGTTTTTTAATATTTAGCTAGCGTCCTTATATTTACATGATAGCTTTCACATAAGCCGAACCATACAATAGTGTGGCAATGTAATTATCTTGCAGGACCAAAAAGTCTGATCTAGTAGTCGGTAGATACCAATAAATTATGCTTAGTTAGGAATTCGGAATTATGAAATAAATAAAACAAAATTCATAGATGTTTTTAATTCATTTATTAATTTAAAAAATGTTATTCACTACAAACAATAACATAATAATCTCCTTGAATAATAGCCTACACTAGCAGTAAACCAAGCACTGAAGTTAGTACCACAAAGTTAAGAAATAAATAAAATTCTTATTTCCTCAGCAAAGTGTAGTAGCTGTAAGCCCCTTTCAGTATCTGCAAAGTGAAAAAAAATCCATTAAAAATCGCGTATAAATTAATCAAGCATAATGACATTAGGCCCAATTCTTCCTTCTCCTCAATCTGAATCCTCAAATCCCTAATAGATAATCCACACGGTAACGCATAATCTGTAGTAGTTAGGCAAAGTGGATTATTCCTCTATGGTAGTAGGTAACTAACTCCTTTGGTACTACAAGTGTCCATAAGCGGCGCTGATTGCTTAACACCCAGGTAACCCGTAGCTATCGTTTAAAAAATTAAACGTTAGGTTGTATATGTACCTACTACCTATCTATGCGTATACCAATCACACCTCCATTTTTCCAATAAAGTCCTATGCAAGTTTAATAAGACATTCGTTGCAACAAGTTACAGCATCGATATCGACATTGTCACGCCTACTCGATGTTAGGGCTACGTATACATTTGCGCATATAACGGAGAAGAGACATTTGGCTTTTATAGGGAACCTAAATCGTACAATTCAATTAGGTACTAGAAATAAGATGGAAGTTTGTTTCTCTTTCACGTAAAAGTACTTAATCCGAATTTAGTAAAATTGGTTTCAAATAGTATACCCGCAGCCCTACAGTAGGACGATTATTTCTTTACAAATCCACATCCATCTAAATACGTGTAAGTACCGGCACCTAATAAATATTCCTAGTTTCCATTTTCTCTGCTCATGCATGTGTCTACGCCCTACGACAACTTACATTAATGAAGGTCGGCAGAGTAAGGTTGGCGAATGGGCCAGCAGTAAAAATGTTCTGAATACGAAGCTGGCCCAATAGAAGCAGCACGTCATTTCTTTGTCGATTGCTAGCTGTGTACCAGTTGCTCTCAAACGGCCCAAACGACATATTTTCGTTCTAAAAAAGAAATCAGAGTTAAAAATAATGTCGTTCCAAAATTCTTTGATTCATATTTTTCAAACTTTGTACTTAAAGGGTTCTAAATTTGTATTTATTAGTGAAGTAAAACTCACTTTAATCAAAACGTCGTTGCTGTGCCAGCAGAAGACGAAAAGTTGTGCGATACCAAAAATTAAATATTCTGCCATCAAAAGCTTCTGCGCGGCATTCTGTGCCGACTGGAAATTAAAGTAAGGACAACAACATTACATAAACTAGTCAACATATCTATCTATGAGCTAATTTCTGGGACAGCGGTACTTACAGTCAGTTGGTAGGCGCTTGCACAAAGCATGAGCGAACACATCACCATGTAGAAAAACATGATAGGCGACAGAAGAGAATTAAATAATCTCGAGTACCTGAAACAACAGATCATTAACACAAAAAATACCAACAACAGGAGCTTACAATTATTGTTTTCGTTGTTAGTTAATTTAATAGCGTATATTATAGAGCTCTATACGCGTCGTAGTGGTTGCAAGCGCGAGATACAATCTATCGATAAAATTTTGGGACTTATGCTGGTTCAACCTTAATATCAACTTATACAGTATTTTAATTTACTGTTAAATTTTATAATAATGTGTATACAGACCGATTTAAGATCGTCATATTGGTTTCTAAATATTACACCTATTCATTAAGAATAATCGGCTTATTTAATCCACTAACAAGTTAGTGATAGCTAACCTACTTATTTTTTGTGGGTTCTTTATTTTTATCATTAGTAAGTATTTGTACTTAAATTAGAAGGGAGGATGAAAATGTGTAGAAGAACTATAAATAAATATAGGTACTAATACTATATATTTACGAAAGTGGCACCGGTCACAGAGAAACTAAAAGATGTTTGAACCTTTAAGTCATATGTTAAAGGAAGAAATTAAGATGATTAAACAAAGAATGAATGCTTAAATTTGGAAGGAGTGGAAGCTATGGATCGACGGAAGAAAAGATAATACATTTTGTAAAGAATGATTACGAAAGAGGATATTTGCTTAGTTATTGTTAACAGGATGACCTCTGTTTAAGGGAATACTTGGTTTGGTGCCTTGAATGATAGCGGTTTTAATAAGTCATGTGGATGCCGTATGTATTCTTATGTTAGATTTGTTACCTATATAATTATTTAGTTGCAAACATAGTATGTCCAATAACTATAAGAATCTGAACCAAGTTAAGGTGAGAAAAACACAAAGCAGAGTTGATACTCTGCTTTGTGTTTTAAAATCATTATAAAACAACAAACTAATAACTAATAAAAAATTTAAGAGGTAATGAAAAAATAGACATTGATATCCTTATCCAAACTAGCTTGGGATAAGGACGTAATTATATAATTTTCGACAGGTTACAAATCTATAAACATATGAACCATGGAAATCAAGTTAAACTATTTACTGCTTGGTAGGGCATGCCCTCTAGCACACGAAGCTGTATCCAGGTATTATTGTAACAATGAATTGGATATTTTGGATAAGGTGGGTGAGAAAACCTTGTACAATAATAATTCATTATTCTGGTTATTACGCCACACTTTTTTCACTAGGTACTGTTTATTTACTTCCTACGAAAAGATGAAAATTCTAGACGATTAGAAACTTTTATGATCAGCTTTAATTTAGGTTAAATCCATCGTGAGGAAACCTGGACTTATAATTTCTAATTATAAGTTTGAAATCGCCAACCCGCATTGAGCAAGCGTGGTGATTAATGCTCAAACCTTCTCCGTGTGAGAAGAGGCCTTAGCTCAGCAGTGGGCACTTATAGGCTGATGATGAAAATATTGTTAAAAGTTTATATGAAGTTATTTCTTACAGAAAATGTCGTGCAAAATTGACAACTGTAGAAATAGAATGTATGTATACAGGTGTTTAGGATTTTATTTACCTAATAGATACTTGTGTTCTTAAATTCAGGCGATAGCATCTATAAGACCTAAAGCCAAGATTCTGAAATATCCAGGTTGTGGTGGGAAGGAAGTCGGATAGAAAATGGCTAAGATTCATTTTGGACCCTAAAACCACACGGAATTTTCATGTCCTGTAAATTTTAAATGGAAAGACTAAACTGTGATTTTTTTGATATTGCCTGTTATGAAGCTTAAGAAAATGCGTGATCGCTATAGAAGATTCAAGTAACTAATTATTAACATTGTCACAATATGATTCGAAACTTTTCTTAATGTATAATGTATGTAGCGTTTCTTGATAAAGAAAAGATACTTAAAGATACACATAGAGTTGAAGGTTTATTACAGTTGGGTTCATTGTTATTGCAGTAGCAAGACTCCGTTTAAAGAGTGGTTCGAGAGGTGGAACGACTTCGACGACGTCTTCGCCAACGATGCAAGTGCTTAGGTACTGCATACAGAAATTTCGGTAGGTACCTGTTTCGGATTCAGCGTTAGCAAACGCCTGGATGTCGGTACTGTGAGGTCCACTCCGAGGAAACGATGAAGCATAATAATATCGTGATGGTGAGGCCTTCTTGGGCCGAACACCGTCGTGTATTTAACGAAGCGATTATTATGACGACCTCTCGCATCAATTTAGTTAAGGCCAAGGTGCAGACCGAGATGAACTTGGAATCTATGTCGTCTCCTCCTTCAGCGAAGCAGTCTTCTTTGCTTTGGAGAAGGCTCGTGAAGGAACGTTCCTCCAGCTGCCGGAGGAGACATTCCTATCACGCGGGTCTGCAATGGGTGTGCTAACAGACCACGACAGCTAGGGACCGGCGGGACCGACATCCAGCAGGTTTAATGGGTGCAACAACAACAATTTATGGAACGTAGGTATTAGCCAAAGTCAATACTCACTTTATTAACATCATGTGGATGCTATGCAGCTGCCGAACCTCTTGTTCATATTGATGCGGGTCGCTGATTGAAGTGCCGTAAGAACCAAACATGTGTTTGCACCTTTCACGAAGTAAATCGAGTTTTCCTCCTAAGAATACCATCGTGACCACAACAGAAGTGTCGAAGGCCGCCATAATAGCGGCACCATAAGCACAAAGTACAGTGTGCCACAGGACTGTGATCCAACATCCTGGCGAGTGATACTTATCAAAGGGCATCCACGAACTAAAGATATGAGGAAATGGCTCTGTACCATTACGCATGTTCTCTCTAAATGTCGATGAGGACAGATATCGCATTAGTGGCGAACAAGTAGTTGTCAAGAAGGTTGTGCTGACCAAAGCCCAGTAAAAATATGTGAGACGCCGGCAGTATCTAGTGTAAGCTTCAACTATTTGACTCCTGGTTGGATCCTTACTTTGTCTTTCAAAATTATCAGCTTCTGTAATATATTCCAGAACTTCACGCCAATGCTTTTCCCACAAGACAAAGGTGTCCACTTTTACAATGCAAACCACGCTTAACATAGAAATCTTCATGTTAGTCAGTACGAGGTCCAAATCCGATCTGATAACATACAATTCCATATACTGGGTTACTACAAAAAGTGTGACTAACCCGTGTAAGAAAATGTATAAAGTTTTGCCCACAAAGCTTTTTGGTAAAAGTAATCCCATTTTTTTAAGGATCCAGTAGTTTGGACCTAATAGAGGTCGTGCTGGATCCTCTAAACTCTGAAGAAACGAATTCATTTTGTCACACCAAAAGATTTAAATGAAGTGACGGAGCATTTTTTAGGCTCTGATTTATATACGACCCGGCTACAAGGCTGAAGTTAACCCCACGATACCGCGGCGGGGAAAAATACTACTTTGTTTTATTTGATTGTCAATTGGAACAGAATTATTTTAGGGGATATAACAATCCCTCAGAATTTTTGAAATTGTAGTCTGTCTACTATATTTAGCCCTCTTTTAACTTACAGGTTAAATGTCAGTAATAATCTCTTAGGTATCATTAAACAACTGGCATGGAGGGAGGCCTATATTCTGCAGTGTATGTTTGTCTCGTAGCTGAAATGATAAAGATGAGGATTCAATTAAATTCACTACTTACTTATTGACTCAGAGGTACAGTAATTACTATAGTGTCACTAAATAAATAACTTGGATCATTACCTTATAACAATTAGTCTAACATTACTGAAATATTTGTGTTGCCTGACCTAATGATGTATGCGTTTAAATATCAGAACCACTATGTGGTATCATATTATGTAAAATTCCATGGGATTAAGATTAGATATAGGTACTTTTACCTTCCAATTTTAACGTCATTCGTAACTTTGCTTAATTAATCGTCGTCATTTGTCCGACTGCTGAGCAAAGGCCTCTTACCTCACGTACAAGGATTGAGAATTTCATATTTACCACGCTTGGTTTCTCCAAAATGGATAGCTTCCTTTTATAATTCAGGTTTATTAAACACTAGCTTTTGCCCGCGACTTTTTTCACTTTTAATAGTGACTTCCTGCAGATTTTTGGTTAAAAAAGTCTTCTATCCTAAGCCCTTTCTCGAGATTTCACACAAATAGGTTCAGTAGTTTAGGCGTGAAGAAAAGACAGACAGACAGAGTTACTTTCGCATTTATAATATTAGTAAGGACTAGATATTTACATTTAGCTTTCGTGAATAAGTTTAAAATAATTACCTTTGTAATCATCCACTGTTATCCACCTGCATAATGTGCAATTCATTATTGTCTTAAGAATAAAAAGTAAAGAGAGGCATCTCTTGAACTTCCTATTCATAACCTAATAAGTTCCTCAAAATCGTTTAAAGAATTAAAAAAATACTTATGAAAATTACCTATGCATAAAATTGATTCAACCTAATGTGTCTACTACCTGGATATGTAATTACATTATAGAAATTGCTAATATAATTCAGCAAATCCTATATTTTTCCTGGGAATTCCGATTTCAGTCACCAACTCCAACAATTTTCATATTTTACCCGCATACTAAGTATTTTTCAGCTTTCGGTCGGTAGTCTTACGATAAACGGAGCGATTTAATAGTATGAAATAAATGAGATCCAGTCGGTGCACCTACTTTCTATGTTTTCGCAAATATTCGAGGTTTTGCAAACTAATGACTAAACTACTCTATCGACAAATTTAACAGTAGGTCTCATCACTAGTAAAGTAATAGCAGCCGCATAGTCATATAACAATGTATTTCAAACCGTTAATTTAAATGTCTCTATTATTCCCAGTAAATGTGGGCGTGACCGCGACACTCCGGACGCTCCCCATTCTAAAAAAAATAATGAAGCTATCACACATCAATGCGAACCCTATCATTACGTTTTGAATAAGTTATTAGAAAAATACGACACGCCAATCATTTAGAAAGAAAGGGATTTTTTATAAATCTTGATTTACCTACCTATAAAACCAATAGAATTCTTACTAAGTAGGTCTCTACCTACCTATATTTTATAAGACGTCTGCTTCAAGGTTCAAATAAAATACTAATTTGAAACTAGAATAATTATTTACTCGAATCATCGATCACTAATAGTTCTTTATTAGTGATCGATGACTCGAATGCTTATTTTTTGTTTCGATTCTTCACTGCAAAAATTAATAGATATTTTATTAACCTTTTATTTAGATCTTGCTTATATTGACTGAGCCTGACGGCCGACGTTATAATAAAAAGCTTTTATTTAATTTGTTTTTGAGGATTTGGCAGCTGAATTTTAATGATGCAGGTGTCTCTTAATGATTGAATTGCAATTTAGTTTAAATAGGTTCACGATTACTTTCCGTGACCATATATTAAGTAGGTTTTTAGTTATGAAGTCAGTCTAAATCCTTAATGCGGAAGCCGACCTTCCAAAGTAACGTCACTATAAGAAAAAAATCATCCATTAATTCATCTATACTTACAAACTTTCGTGTAATGTAAATATTAGTAACATAAACTGCCGCGAGATGACTGTGCGGAGTGTATTGAACGAGCACTCGAACCGTAGTGTCACAGAGTACATTTTAGCAATAGCGTAGTGTTACCAAGTGATACTCTTTGACTGGAATTTTTGTAGAGTGGTAACATTTTGTTTGGCTGTCATTAATGACGTCAGTACGTCAGTCACTTGACTTGAAGTTCGCGAACTTCGCGATTAAACCAGGTTCAAGATTATAAGAAAAATTGTTTAAAAGCATGAGAATCATGAGATCACGATTGTTGCAATATAAAACAGAAGAACTTTGACGTAACTAACGTTTATAAACCGAATATTGAAAACCGGTATCGGTCTAAAAGCCTAAAGTTATTTTCGAAATGTTTGTTTATTTTGTTCTATTAAAAAGAGATTTTGTGATAAACTGAAATAAGTATAGTTGTAATGGTAAGCTGTGCTGTAGCAAGTTGTAGGAATACTTCGGCAAAAATAACCAAAAATAAAGATGGAATTACATTCCACAGGTAAACAAATACATCTTTAGTAATCATAAATTGATATAGGTTGCAGGCATCAAATAACTTGTAATATATAGTGATTATTAGTCATTTACATACATTGTTAAGTAATAATATTTGTACAAGCTCAATAATACTAAATTCCAGGTTTCCCAGAGACAGAGAAAGAAGAAAGCAGTGGGAGCTAGCAGTAAACAGAGAAGAAGAATGGTGTTCAACTGCCTCCAGTGCTGTTTGTTCTGAACATTTTGAAACGAAAGACTTTTACTTGACTGAGAGTGGGCTCCGGCGCTTGTCCGTTGAGGCTGTGCCTGCTATTAACATTTCTGTAAGCATAATAGTATTTAGGGCAGATCACTATAATTGTTTAGTTTATCATGAATAGAGACTAAAAATTGTAGCTAGCTCATTTACGGTCATCTTTTTTCAATTGCTTGTTTGATTAGATTTGTTCTATCTATTAAGAAAAAGTTATTTATAGTACATAAGTACTAATTGCAACTTCATAATTTGGGATGTTTGTTCTGAAATAAAGTCAAAGTAAAATCTTTTAAGTCAAGTAGACCACTATTGGCATTTTTTAACATATAGAAAAGTTTAACTTTGTGTGCCAGTCTGTAGTCTATCCTCTATTTGCTTGTTCCAAAGTGTAGGTTCTAATGTTGGAGAACTAGCAAGAAACTCTATGGTTACCCTTTTTCAATCAATTTCACTATGCATTTTTGTTAAATCATTTAGATGAAAAGTAAAGATCTTTAATTAATTATATATTTCAAAGTAAAGTATAAATGCTAATCATGATTGTTTATTCCAGCCGTGCCAAGAACCAGAACCAACTATATCCCGAGTCCAACCAGTTGATGTTCAACCCACAGATACAGAAGAAGTTATACAATTAAAATATAGAGTCCACAGATTAGAAATAATAGCAGAGAATAGAAAGAAAAGACTGAACCTCATGTGGCAAGGAAATAGAAGACTGCGGAAGAAGTTGGAAAGAATGAAATGTTTGATCAAACATTTGATCAAAAATAAAAAAGAAAACGGCAGTATTAGCTGAGTTGTCAATAATGTTGACATAAGTACTGATGATTAAGATTCCTAAATACCTTTTCTAGTTGAAATGTTGTGCTACAATTTTATTGTATAGAGGTACTAAAGAAAACTCAATTAGGTTTTTTTATTTAATTTATTGTGTTTAATAAGAAACAATAACATTAAAATTATAAGAAAATGTATACAATAAAGTACCTAACTGGAAATTAAATATCGATTTATAAAAATGTGGCAATGGTAACACTGAAAATATCATCTATAGATACTTCTTTTATAAAATTATGTGACTGATTATATTTTTATTTATGTTACACTGTGGCTGAATTAAAAACAACATTTAATTATTATTTGATGAAATCTACTTTACAAAAATCATTGTTTGAATTTGAATTATTAATAAATCATAAATTAATGTTGTTTAAGATGACTAATTAAACTATTTCCTTCTGTTGACATGTAATATTCTAGCAATTTAACTTTGATTAAAGAAATATATTTAATGAGAATTACAGAATGTTACATTGTTTATAATATTTACAGTACCTACTATTAAGTCCTTCAGGCACTCAACTTTTAAATTGTTTTTGTAAAACGATTTATAGAGAAAAGGTTTAGGATAATTTACGAAAATAAAACTGATTTACAAAAATAATTGAAACAAAATAATTCCTTCGAGCCGGATTTGAACCAGCGACCTATGGATATCAACTATTTGCCTCTACAGTCCACCGCTCTACCAACTGAGCTATCGAAGGCGTGAGAGCAGTCGCGAAATAACGAATCATATGGACCGGTGCATAATATTATGTAAACTTTCTTGTTTTGACGTGTTTATCTTAATATCTTTTATAATTAAACTAGCGACCAGTCACAGCTTACTTGTGCACTGCGGATACAAATTACATTAAAACAAACCGGATTAAAATCCGTTCAGTTTTTTTATAGACTTAGCTGCCTACATAGGGATATAGAAATAGAAAGAGTTGTTTAAATGTATACTTGTTTTATAATATATTTTTTAAGTGTGAGAGCCTTGCTTCGGCACAATTGGGTCCCTAATGACCCACAAAAGGCCATCAACGCACTTGTAGTAACGAGTATTTTGGTATTAGGAGTGCATCTCTGATTGCTGACCACCTGGTAATCCGGTTACTCGATTGCTGACTTATGAATGGCCAAGAGCGGATCGGGCTACGCTCAGGGTAGGGTTAGTGGTTTCTCGTATGTCACAATAAATATTCCCATTTAAGCGATAATGTAAATCTTAAAACAGCAACTCCGCAAGTAGCAAGATTCCAAAATAATAATCTAGGAAGTACCTATTTAGGTATAAAGTTCTACTTTCGAGATTTTTTCTATATTTTCTAAACTAATAGTTCAAAAGTGGAAGGGACACACATTGTTTTAAACTTTTGGAGCGATTATTCCCGAAACTTAACATTACATAACAAAAAATAATCGTCGTATCTCGTATTCTTTTTTAAATACCTATTCAACAATATATTATTATCATACGTTAGGGTTGAAATAAAAAAAAACATATTAACGGATTTGAATTTTGAATCTTATTGTCATCTACCTTCAATTCGAAATACAAAAACTGGCTCAATGGTTTAGTCCTAGACTAAAGTAAAACCTTGTTTTGTAATAAGGCCGTTAGGGTTCCTGGTTTACTACCAATGACGATATAACCACTGTATCCTCTTTGTTTACTACGAAACCCTAAAAATTAATAGTTATGTCGGACCTTATTTTCACGTGTGGAGAGCCATGCTAAGTGTGGTAGAGTCATCCTTTTGCACGAATAGGCCAGCTCGACTGGAGCGATACCACAACATTCCAGAAACCCATCATGAAACCACCACAGCATTGTGTTTCGCTGTGTGAGTGAGGTTGCCGAAGGCCCAATGCTTCCTCTCCCCGTAGCCTCATTGATCTCAAAACCCTCAAAAAGTTAGCAACAGCAACTATTACTTTAGTGAAGTCATCAGGCCGCGCTATCACATAAAGTATTATTTTACGGGATCAGATCTGATTCAGATCAGATGTAAGTAGTGCGGAAGAGCTCTCATAGTTTCGATAGTCTTGCGATTGTTTCAACCTGTACCTAACTGCTGAATGCAAGGGTTCATTTTCAGGTTCGCAAAATTTAGGTATTAGGTATCTACGAATGTTAATTCTACGAATTTTTAATTCCAGTTTACGATTTTTGTTTAGGGTAGTTAATACCCGGTTGGGCATTATTGTTGCTACTTAGAAAACTTGTAGGATATAAGCATTAACCACCACTTATGGCCAGGGTCAATTGGAGATTTCTAACTTAATTATAATTAGAAATTATAAGTCCAGGTTTCTCCACGATTTCAAAAAAGGTCAGTGGTATCTAATTGATTAAAGAAAGTAGGCACATAGGTATTACCTAATCCTGAAAAGTCACATTCCTTGTGAAATTTCGAAGCCGCACGCCTCACCAGGACGAACGGGTTAGAATGGGTTATTTTAATAAATGTAAATCATTGAAAACAGTAAAAACCATAAGTGTGAAATGATTGAAATTGCAACGGTCACTAATGAACTAGAACGGTATTTGACCACAAGAGGCGACAGTAATGACGACACTCTTCCCTGATAACTTATCTCTGTAGAAACCTCAGCTACAGTTATTGCCGGTTCTCGATACCGCGTCCATTGATCGAGCGCGCGCGCAGGTGGGGGCAACAACGATCTCCCACCAACTAGCGCGCCAGTACCATCGCTGCCAACATTGAGTGACGCGCGTATTTTTGTTCCGCATAAAAATATAATCGATTCGAAATATTACGTTCGTTTTTATATGTAAATATAATTTGTTGAAGCTTGTGTTTGTATGAAGTGATGTCCAGTGTCCGTGTTATGTTCCGTAAATCTCGCTCGTGTCCCGCGTCTTTTATTGGATTCGTTTAGCCAGTTGCAGCAAACGAAAATGTGACTGTTTGTTTTAATGTCAAGTTTTAATCGATCGTCGATCGAAAATGGGTTTTATTGACGTTTTCTTCACTATATAATGATGAAGATGAGAGAGTTTATGAGGATTACGTTGGTGTGTGTGTGCGCTTTCCTTTTGGCAGTGCGTGAGACAAGGTGTGAGGATGAAGTGTCCGAAATGGATGAAGGAGGTGCTCTGAGAGGGGAGGATCAGAATGAGCAGAGGAAGGATTCCAAAGGTCCCATACCAGGTAAGCAAACACAGTCACATAATAACATAAACAAATGAGCATGTGTGACCTGTGTTGACATTATAAAAACACTATGATAGAGGTAACGGTTGTTAATTTATGTAAAGAATGTGTTGAGTGCCGAGTAGAGGTCGTACAGCTGTTTGTGTAGCCTGTGACTGCTAAGCAATGGTCTAGAAGTGAAGGGCTCGAGGTGCGATTTCTCTGCACCGCGCCGTGGGTAGTTAGAACGCATCATTGTATCTTCAGCGAAGGAACGTAATGACTATAAAACGATGTAGATACTCTCCTGCATACTACACCAGTTTGTTATTAGATAAAAACCCGTTTTATTACGTATTTTGAACATGTTCTGTTATTTTTTCTCATTTTGCAAACACGCAAACAATCCCTTCCCACGTATGTCGAAGCGTATGACTAAATGAACATTCTCGATTAGGTGCGCCTCTCCTATAAATCATTTACTTATATCGCTTGATTACAATTCGTCAGTTTTGTAATTGTGTAAATATATTCTTTTTATGAAAACGTTACCCAACAGCACGATTCTCTTCTGAATCGTGGGTGTGTTTACAAACTCACATGTTCACAAATTTATAGGTACCTACCTACCTCAAACCCAGAACTTACCTGTAACCACAATTTGTGGATCATGAAAAGGATTGCCTTGCGCGGTAATTGAATCCGCGATACGTTGCATAGGAGCCAGTTGCCCAGTCTCTACCGCTAACCGTCCAGTCACTATAATTAAGATCAAAAACTTTGGACACCAATACTACTAAATACCTACCTACTATCCCTGTATTGTCAATACTTATTATGCTATTAACATAATTATAGGGTTGCAATACAATAAGCGAATAGGTAAGCAGGGTCTTATCTATAGATACCTATTTATGAGGTCACCAGAAAAGGTAGTGTTTATAGGACTTCTTGGTTTAACCTAATAGCATAGGGTGCACTCAGCCTTGGGGTTGCGGGGTAAGCGCAATGAGGCACCGCGACCTCGGCCTAGAGTAGGAGTAGGAACAGGGGGGTTTTTAGTCAGTACGAGTCTGACACTCCCCCAAGCCCCACCCTGGGCGGGAGAAGTCATTTGATGATTTTCCCCTTATAAAAAAAGCCTTTCGAGGCAGACTGGTTATAAGTTAATGGAACCTACCCCACTGTTTCCACTTACCTATGCATGACTCTTTACTTAACTACTTAGTCATGATGTACTTTATTACCCAAAACGAGACGTTTATCTAGGATTATTACGGATGTTTAGTGCTAGCTTTCATCATTAGTGGCGTAGGCACACCATGCATATGTTAATCACCTAGTTAAATGCACTAGATATTTCTTCTACATTTGAAACACTATTACTAGTAGAAGAATATCTGATAAAGGCAATTGGTAGGTATGTACTTGTAGTGAGTCCCGTTATAACCTGAAAGTTAAAGATATTCACTCTATGTTAGTCCTTATTTTCAATATTTTATTATGTATCACGATAGTTTTTTCAACAAAGAAGAGTAACAACATAAAATATTGTCTCTCCCAAAGCTACATTTAGCCCAAAGATACGAGTATCATATTGCACAAAAATGCAGCCGACATTTCAGCCTGCCTAATTTTAGGAACCGGTTCGATACTTATATGACACACCAAGGTATCACGTGTTAGTGCATGATCTACCAAGTTGTGTTCTTAATAACATTTTAGGTACAGTAAACAGCTTGACACAAATACTTAAATAATTCGTTAAGGTGTGGTGTACGTACTACGTGCCCAAAACAAATGTGTAAAAATCCTTTTCTAAATTCAAATTGGAAAATTCTTGTGTCTCAATATACCGGAGGAAGATGAAAAAATTTTGACAATATGAGAATTACCTAGCTCTAAGCCAAATATTGTAACTCGGTAAAACAAAAGAGGTGCAATTATATAGAAGACTGATATAGTCAAAAAAGTTTTGTATAAAAATTTGATGATTTTCCTAATTGTACGCAATTAGGCCATAATGACCACAAATAAATAAAAACATAGGTACGTAGTTAGCCATAACTTCCCTCCAAATCTTAATTAACTAATCACTGGAAACGTTTCCATCACTCACCTTAATTTATTAACTATAACACTAAGTAATCATTTGTTGTTAGTTAACTATTTTAATACGTCTGAATTGAAACAATTGATCAAGCAACGTGCAATTATTCGGATTAGTTTCTCTTCATTTGTCGATTTTATTTTTAAATTACTAACGAGCTGATTGCACGCATTTGTTTTTTATGGTAGGTATGTGTTGATTGGAGCGTCTTATTTAAATTCACTTGTTAATTTACTAAGAATTTGTAACCCCTTTGCTTGTTTTAATTCAACTGCACGATTGGCGTGGTGGATGGGAAACCCTTCGTGTGGCCTATAAATTGTTGTTCCGAGTCTGGGTGTGATGTGTATGTGAAATTGTATGTTGTAAACGCACCCCCAACACAGGGATTGGACCTCCGGTAACCTCACTTACACGAAGAAACAACTCTGTGGATGTTTCACGCCGGTTTTCTGTGAGGCCGTGGTATCACTCCGGTTGAGCCGACCCATCGAGCGGAAGCTTGGCTCTCCCACACTTAGTGGAACAAAATTAAAGTAAACAAACAGATGAGTCCTAGTGAGGGAATGACAAACGGAGGCATCGACCTTCCGCGCCTGACGACTCTTGCGCAAGCCATGCGAACCATTCATTTGCATCACAAAGCGGAACGTACTACATAGGCTCGGTACTTCACTAAAACTATGTTCATTCCCCAAGTTATGTAATGCAAGCGTTTTCATTCAAAATATGCTACGAAAGTTACAATTTTGTATGGTTTTACTTTGACAGTTGTATGAAATTTCATCCGACTAAAATTGTTACTCGTTTCTTAATATTCTTGTTGTGTACGTGTTTTCTTTAGTTTGTGTTAGGAAATGTGATTAATTAATTACTTATTTATAACTGTATACCTATCTTTGAGGTTTGGTTACTTCAATGACAACCTAGTTACCTAGGTACCTGCCTAGTTATACGTGACAATTGGTGCATTTTGCAATGAGTTCCAATTAAAATTATTATTGTTTAGGTAGTTTATTTCGTGTTGAAATGCTCGACTATCTTCTTGTTGTTCACCAGAAGCACTATTATTTAAACATTTTATTTTTCTGTGTCAATTCCTGATGGGTCAAAATGCATTGGATTTTGACATTAACAACTATAATTAGTAAGTATTAAGAGTCAATATCGTCTCAACCTTAAATACCCGACATCCTGTGACATATAAGTAAAAAGTAGGGCATTACCTTTTGGCGTAATGACTGGCTGCAGGTAACCCTTTGCATTTGGATGTTACGGCGTGGCGCACGCTGAACATCGCTGTAGGGCGTCTAAATGCCAAGTCACAATATTATGACGAAACACATCCATCCGAGCTACTGATTAAATCTCAGGTCAAAAATTAAAGTAGGAATCAATTCTGGAATAAATTTAGCGAACTATTTTTGAATATGTACAAGTTTATTGCACTTACAAGCATTCCAGAGGTTGATAAGAATGATTTGTATTAAGTTCCCTTAAATACTTTTATTAGTTTAAATCCATTAGTAAATCTTGCCAACTAAAATGGAACATGTTTAATGTGACATTGCACAAAGAGGCTTGTATTTACACATTCGGCTTGCCTAGCCTCGACATAGCCGCATTTAAATCATATCTAAATTGCTACACAACATTTGTAGCTGGTTGATGGGATTTCGTACTTCACATGTCATTTAATATACTTAGATTCCACAGATATCCGCAGTCTGATACTCACTCTCGCACAACCCAGGCCGAGAAAAGTCTTTTTATTGTTTTAAAAATACGTGTTATCTGATTCAGTAGGTAATGTAAGTTTTATATTAAATAATAGTTATTTAATGTACGATAAATAGTTCATTTAGTAGGTACATTGAAGATATCAATCTCCAATATTAATTAAAATACAAATCTGTACGTGATTCGATCGTAAAACGATTAAACGTACTTACCTACAACAAAATAACTAAGTAACTATAGTGAACTGTGACCCAACTCTTATTATGAACTTTAATAATTTCGCAATTTTACTTCAAAACTATTATAATACAACATTGAATACGAACAAATGCCTACATATTATTATGTATGACCACGATTATAATACACGATTCTTATTTGACCCGCATGAAGCCAAGTTCACATGGTACATGATTTTTTACAATTTGCTTTGCCATTGATACCCAATTCATGTAAGTATCTACCTACATACATATCTACTGTGACTGTGTGTTTAGACACGTTAAAGTCCTTGTAAATTTCTATGATGATGATCACTGATCACTGTTTTTGAACAAAATATTTCGCAATTTTTTTATATCAATAGTGATGTAGCGTTGTTAAAAATGGCCTTCGTTCATCGATATGATTTGTAGACATGTCACCTCTTTGGAAGAAACGCTTTGATCATAAAGCGTCCATTGATTGATATTTTCGCTGTTGCCAAATTCTGTGTTGGTGTTAATGTTAACTGTTTGTATTGATGGCCTTGTTAATTAGTAGATATTCTTATCTTTTTGATGTTTGTGCTACTTTTTCAATGTTCGAAATTACAATGCTTGGGTATGTTTGAACTACTATCTATGCAAGCCTATAGGATATTATCAACTAGGCAGAGTTGTTTTTACTTTTGTTACCACCAGACCTACCTCTCTCTTTTAATTAAAAAATATAGTGTTAAATATTAGTACAGGCTTCACCTGGTAACTTAAATTATGAGGCTGACGTTACGCATTTTTATTCATGTCGTAAAAATATTCCCACAGTTTACGATTTAATTCACAACTAATCTTTAGATCTGGAGGTAATATGTTTTCGAAGAATTTATTACCTACATACGGGTACTATTGCATACAGTTTATGTAACAATAAATTGTTTTCAGTGTCAAAGCACCCACTCCACATCTTATACAAGGTACAATGGACCAGTGAAGTTTATTATGCTAAGCTACCGCATTCTGGAGCTCTATCCTTTTACCTATGTCACTTTAAACATTAATTCTAGTATTTTATTTTCCCTGTAACAGCTTTCACACTTAAATTATCATTTTACGATGAAAAGATATTTTTTTAATTTTCTACAGCAAAAAAGTCTCGTGTCGTATGGTCGTATGCCATCCCATTATTCAACATCAATAATACAAGTTGATAATACAAATCGCCGTGCGTCCGGCCGCTTCCTGCTACATTCACTAAACAATGAAAAACGGAATTTCCTTTGTGGTACAATAATGTACTGTGTTAGTACGTACTGTATGATTGTATGAATACATGGGAGCGTTTTCACTGCCTATTGTACAATAGGCAGTGAAAACGCTCCTTTTATATAATACAAACTAAAACGTTACGGTTGTTGTATGGTTTTCATGTATTTTTTTTGATATTCCAACTTTTTTGCGTCTGTTTAACTGGTTCCAAGCACGATTGCAGATCTGGCGATTGACGTTAGCTTACTAATCCTCAAGCGCCAATCCATTATAAGACTTAATTTCCGATGCTTAAAGTTTAAGATGAAATAATTAATCAACTTGTCTTCAAAATAGATATTAGCAAGATTGTCTTTAGTTTGGTAGAATCAAAGTATGTACCTAGTTAAATTTGGTTTGTGGTATAGGGATGCGGTTCACCCAAGGAGTTCAGCTTCCACTGTTCCAGAAATCGATAAAAATCTGTGTTAGATGTAATACTTGTGGCTTGGCCCACTATCGAAGAATACTCGTATAAGATATAGTGCTATGATGAATAGCCATATCCATACTTTTTATGGAGATAAGTAATTATTGTGGTTCCGAAGTGTGATCACGTGTCCTAAGATAAGATCGGTCACATAAAACTATGTTTCATTTGAAATTATATTGCCCTGTGGTTTTTTCCATTTTACTGTGAAATTACTTTAATATGTATAGAATAAGAAACTATAAAATAATATGATTTACTTTACTTACATAAATTGTATTTTGTGTGTCAGTATTATTAATTTGTTGGCGAATATTTTGGCATTTCATTGTTTATTGTTATCCAAATCCAAACTATTACTTACACATGCGAAAGTAACTGTGTCTGTCTGTCTTTTCTTCACGCCTAAAGTGCTGAACCCTTTGTGTGAAATCTGGTACAGACATAGGTTGGAACTCGAGGAAGGACATAGGATAGTTTTTAAACCAAAATATGCAGGAAATCACTATTCTACGCGAACAAAGTCGCGTGCAAAAGCTTGTATTGTTTATATTTCTTTAGTATAAATGACTTAGGTAATACCCGATGTTTAATTTTAGTGGCATTTGCTTATGGCGCTTTTGTCCGCTTATGATTTGCTAGTTTGCGAAGTTTGGCCTATACTACAAAAATGTCTAAGTATCTAAATACTATAATGCTTAGATAGTTATTAAAAATAAACTGTTAATTTGGTATTTTTCACACATTCTGCTAGTGTTACGAATAAATATTAAAAACTAAAAGTTAACTGCCTTTTACAAAACTACTTACAAGAAATCCTTGAATATGAATTTAATGAAAATGGTAAAACAGTTAACAAACGGTACCTACATTTGTAAATATTTCGAAAGAGTTGTAGATGTAGGTAATTTGTTCGGTTCAATATGTGTTAGCGCTTGGCATCCGTTCAAGTTTGTACCCCTTGAAATCTTTCAAAATTTATGAAGGTTAGGTTTTTATATCAACTTATTAGAAGCCAAAAAACATGTTAGGGAATTAGAGAGCCGCTGAGATCCGTACTTGTAATGAGATACATTTAAAGGAGAACAGAGATCCGTACTTAGAATAAGATGCTTTAAAAAAAACAACAAAACCTATAAGACTCATCAGTTTTCTTGTCTAGAAAAAGATTTTTTAGTAAATTTTAACAGAAAAAGAACAATTTGTATCCACATAGAGTTCATTCTCTTCTGCTACCAAGTCAACTGATTCCTATCAACGATTACTAATATTATAAATGCGAAAGTTACGTATGTTTGTTACTCAATCACGCCAAAATTGCTGGATGAATTTGGCACAGGCGTAGGATACACACCGGAATAGGACATGGTATTAGGCTTCTTTCCACAACATACCACACAGGCGAAGCCGCGTTCATAATCTAGTATTTAATAATTCCGATTCTACAAGTTTAAGCTACTGTATTAGCTACTGTAAGTCGATATCTATCAGTACTAAACAAATTGCCCTGTCACTGTCCGGTTACTTAACAAAGAGAACAATTCAATCGTTGGCCATTATCACTCCACTTAATTACATAATGCTATATTTTTATCGTTTCTTTACTTACGGTACACCTAATTGACAATGTTGACGTGTTGGAAACGCATTTTTCGATGCGATTATCAACCTTAAATCACACAGAATAAGGCAAACAAAAATACAGGTGAGCCCTAAAATAGAATGCGTTCCGCTATGCGCACGCTGCTTGATTTTAAACATGTATGTTGCGCAAAACTTACTAAATACATATTGAATAACTGCTTAGTCTAATTTAAACTTTGTTTAGTTTGAGACAAGGTTTAAATTGGTTGGTTTTGTGTGCAGCATATTTGGGCTAGGTGAAGTTACGGGTATGTTACATGAGCATATTGTTGCAATTAACGTTAATGCCGCTCGGTTTCGATTACAAACGCGTTCTATTGTTATTTTGTAATATCCTCATCCTTCTGACGAGCCTCCTGCCTCGTGTGCTCATTGCACGCCGTTTGTGTGGGAAACCTTTACATTTGTGCTTCAAACAAGTTCAATGGCCCCTGTAACGTTTTCTCTTTATTAGAAATTCTACGAAGCACTAGGTAGGCATGTCATTTGTCAAAATATCATTACATACAAATACTTACCTATCGCCACTTACTTGCCGACTATAATAACAACAATATTTATGTGATGTGCTTTATATAAATTGCACCATTATGCAGTTTTTATTTTCGATGTAAGTAATTTGGTTTTTATTACATTTGCAATACGGATACGTTTTCGATCATTTCCGTGGTTATTATAATGTTACGTCAAACTTAAGTACAAACATAATACATCTTCTATAATGTAAGTAAATAAAGCGTGTTATATTTGGCGGGCTAAAGCTTCAAGTTCATCGCCTACTTAATAATATGAAATTAAATAAGACAAGGTCACGCGTGGGAGCCAACAAAACTTAATGTGTACTAAGTACGTACGTATATTTACGACTAGTTACTACTTGAGGAGGCCTCTCCTACGAACACATTCATCACAATAAACACAGACCTATTAGCAACAACTTAATACCCCAGTGATGCCAGTATCTCTGTTTAATCGACTCGTAGATTAGAAACATTACACGGAAAATGTAACAAAATTAAAATATTCATTCTTTTAAATAATTTCACAGCAACTTTTACTTAACACT